GTGGCTTACTCATGTAGAGTGGCCTTGAGCCACAAAGCTGGGCCATCAACACTAAGAGACACTGAATAGGCAATGAGTGGGTGAGGGATCAGTGCTCCATTAGGGCCCTGCAGATACTGTCCTGGTTCCTCCCCTTCTGCTGCTCCTATCACCTGGGCGTCTGTGAAACCTGAGAATGCAAGTTACTTTTCCAGTTTGGATTTCTGTCCACAGTATCCTCAGCTTAGAAGCAGGGATTTTCTTTTTCACAGTAATCAGGCATAGGCCAGACCCATGAACTGTGCTGTGTCTAAGAACTTTGCTTAGACCAAACCTCAAAGAAAGATTGAGCAATACTGTTGTTACAAACTTAACACATACAAACAGCTAACTTTACAGAAGCTTTCCTAATTTGGAAGTAGGTAATTCTTGTTTTTGGTTTGTTTATCCAATTTCACTTTGTGCAATAAATAATGTTTCTGATTTAGTAGTAAAAGTATGTTTTAATTAGTAAAAAGTAACTTGGGCTAAAGGCAGCACTGAAGTATTGAGAATAAACCCCAGCACCATGTTTCTAAAACCTTTAACACTCTGGACTTCAGAATATATTTCACTCTCAGCACTAACATTATAACCACATAGACAAAGAAGACTCACAAAAATATATGAGCCCAAGTACCACCAGTGGTGTGCATACCGTATTTTGATAACCACTTGACCACTTGTAGAATCTGTAAAAGTCTCACTTCTTCTGAATCAGAGGTTGAAAGAAGAGGATGAAAATTCATCTGTCATTTCTGGCAGCTGATGTGATTGGCTCACTGTTTGACTGGTGGTTGTGAGGAAGAGAACTTGGGGTTAGGGTATTGGGTGGGGGTGAAGATAGTTGCTGCACAGATTCCAGTGTTGCAACAAAGCATGTAATGGGCAGCTTGGCCCACACTCAGCCTTTCTCTCTATTTCCTTGTCTCTTTTTTTCAATCTGTGTATTTTTCAGCCTTTTCTTCTCCTTCAGTTCAAGACCAGAAACAACACCATTTTTATTACATACTATTACATACTAATTTAATAAAGAATAAATGATGGTGAGTTGTTACAGATGACGTGGACTGTGTCTCACCACCTCGACAATACACTATGTCACTGTCAGATGAAGCTCACTGTAACAATGTGCAGCATCAGTGTTTCAGTAAAAACACACCACCTGCATGTCTCACACATGGATGCACAGGGCATGGAAATAAAGCGATGGCGTTTATACCGGCATGTGTTGCCCTCACTTGACCTTTTTCATGGGTCTCATCACATTTCATCACACTGTTGTCAATATTAATGTTACCATCATATCTGGGCCTTAGGTGTCTTTGATTTTTGGGGTTTTCCCTTTACGTGACACATACAGATAATCCTAAAATGAGCCTTGAAGCAGAACATATCCCCTAAATCACCAGTGAAACAGTTCAGTCACTCCACCAGGACACATGTCTTTTTAATTTAAAGCCACAATGAAAGGACTCCCTACAGTGGGTTGTGGTGCTGTCTCCGAGATGTCTTGCCTCTTTATGTTGGACAAAACAAAACCACAGGCCGGAATTAAAACCCAAATGTGTTCGCAGCCATAATGTATCCTGTAATCAAGCAAACGTCGAGGCATGTAAATCCTCTTATCTACCCACTGTCAGCAAAGTGCAGACTGTTAAATTTGAATACTCAAGATGCTGCAGTACAGTGTGTGCAATTCACTTGTATGTACACAGACAGTATATTTAAATACACAATGATGTGCTATTTTCAAATACTGGATTAAGATTTGTTTTATCCCCTTATATCCTCACATGGCTTTTATGAACAATGAGGTAAAAAAAACTCTTGGAGGCACTTGAAACATTGAGTTCACATCTAGTGTACAGTGTCAGCCTAGCATTATAGCTGTCAGCATGTAATTGGAACACACCGTCTGTCTGAAGACAGTCTGAAAATCTGAACTGCTGTAAAATTCTTAGCCAAATATGTTGTCGGAGGATTAAAATTGTGCAGGTTGGAGGAAATCAGAGTTGGTGTGTTTTCCTGCAGATACAGGACTGAGCAAAAGACCACTTCCTATTGGATGGACCTTTGGCTTCAGCACTGATCTCATCTTCCTGTATCACACAATGTCAGGGAAGAAAAGAATTCCTGATATTCATGGTGTTTTCTGTGTCTGTTCAGTAAATGAGATCTGTTTATACTTCAGTCTGACTTCAGTCACCCTCCCTGTTACCACAAATAAATCCCTCTGTTTTTATAAAAGTTAATGCTACAATAAAAAGTCAAGATTCCATTTGAGGTAAAGCAAAAGAGTGATTTTTTTTTTCTCCCAAACCTTTTGTCAAATTATCTTGGATAACTGTCTTGGTTAACTGCATGAATCGATTGGTAAATTTTATGTTTTACCTTAAACACTTCCCCTTTTTGCAAGTCATCCACCAATAAGGCTAGTTCATGAATATGAACTATTATTGCTATCTATTGTTTGAGCTAATCCGTTGCATTCTGAAGATGACAGTATTTTATTATTTGATGAACTGAGTTCTTTTGGTCTGTTGATTTTCAGCAGTCTCTAGTGTTCACCACTGGGGACAGATTCCAGACGATGCTAAAATACTTGAGGCTGTTTTGTCATAGCAGACATATTTGGATCGAAATCACAGCTTCGGAACTTTCGCATTTGCAGTTGTCGCCCTAAAAAGGTCGTCGCCCTCTAATATCCCATTCATAGTTGCTGTAGTCACTGGCAGAGTGGCGGGTGTGCCTGTGTTTCTTCCGTTTGAGAAAAGGGTGTGTCGCCTTGATAAAAGAGTCATTAGGTTGGAGCTTTTATGGAGCCTTTCACTGCCTCGGTGTGAAGTGAAAGCCGGGGCTTGTTCGAGACAATCTGGTCCAGGTCCTGGTTTGTGAGTCTGTCAACTTAACCTCAATAGCAGGCTTGTCTTAAGACCCTCTGTCACAACTTCCTGAGAGTGAAGTTGTTTCAGCTGGTGGTGCAATGAACTGTGCGCAGCACAGTGTGAGTGCAGAATGTTCTTTTTTTTCTGGTTCGAGAACAACAATCCATTAAAAACAAAATATATTTAAAAAGTTTGTCTGAAAGGATTTGGTTATAAAATCATAGCATTGTCCAGTCTTTAAACCCCGAAGTGAAGCAAATGTATTTAGACCAACAGAGTCTGTGTGTGAGGAACAGGATCTTTTAATCTCTCAGGATGTTGTTAACCTCGTCGCTGCTTCACAGAGGTCGTCAGTAACAGAAGAATGAAAGGAGAGGCTGTTTGACTTTTTTAAAAGGACATATTTGACCTCACTGTCTGGAGCCACATTGTGGAATTCCTTACAACCACTGATAAAGTCACCTTTGCATTTTCTGAGATACGGTAAAGGCTAAGACTTGTGGCCAAGTTATTCAAATACAAAACCATGTTGAGCCTTATTTTCTTGTGATCGTCTCTTTTTGTTTTAAAGTGAAAAAAAGTCCTGGACCTGTTTTGCATAGTTACTGGTCATGGGTTAGAAGTGATGCTGGAATCCAGTGTCCCAGTGTTGTGTCCCAAAATGAGATCCCAGCATGAGTCCTCTGTGTCCCAGGACTGACACGGGCACATAGCAAGAATGTGATTTCACACTAAAAATAATTGAAAGGTCAAAAGTGGGCAGGAGTCGTTGAAAATGTCGAAAAGAAAATGTTCCAGAGTATAGTTGGATCTATTTGGAGCTAAATAATGTCTTGTAAAGCTTACATTTCTAAAACATGTCAATGTTATACATTATATTGTGTGTTGGCCAAAACACCAGTTGAATCCCACAGTACGTCTTAACAACTAAACCTTCGGCTGAATCAGTGAGTTGTCTTCTTAAAAGTAGATAATTGCTTGCTTTACGCAATGTGGCCTCCATTTTATATCCTTAAATCCTGACTGCCTCACAGTTTGTAAGTCATCGTCTGACTGACTGTTTCGTCATACAGTAGTTCTCCTGGCATCAAAGGATATGACAAGTTTCATTCTGGCCATAATGGATGGAATTTACAATTGATACCATTCAATTTTAAAATGAACATCTTTTAAAGAACACCGTTTAAGCAGACTACGACCTGGTCACTGGAAAGAAATCACATGACCACATACAGTACTTAAAGTGTTGACGTTGCTTCCTGTGAATTTTAATGTGGTTAATTTGACCTGATTTTCAGTTAAAACGAGACGTAGGCTGTCAAAGAAAGTCAAGGTGATTTATACTGAACTTTATAAACGGAGGTTGTTATGAATGTTCTTTATAGTAAAAGGTTGACCTTTTTATTGGAAGAAACAGTTGGATAAATTGTGAAAAAATGTATTGTTGCTTTGTTGAGAGGCGTTTCTTAGAATGAACTTTTCTTTGACTTACATCAGAGCAGGTCTTTCCTGGGAAACGTTACATCACCATGTTTTTACATTGGTCCACTGTGCGCAGACTAAATACTGTTTTATTTGTAATCCTAACGTCATAAACTGTCATTAAATGGTTTCTGTTTTCAGTCTAAACACACTTTGATACAGTACAACCAATACTCCAAAGGTTTTAATCTAAATTGACTATCAGAGGGAGTTTTTTCTTTCATCTTACCTGACAGTTTGACTCCTTTTCAGTTTCCACAGACTTGTCAGAAATGTTACAGAGTAAAACGTTTGTGTCATCAGTCTCCCCCCTGTCAGGGCATGTATAATTGTTCTTCAGGTTTGTACTTGTATGTAGGGATTTAGGGATTACCAGATCTGTTACACTGTGACATGGCGTAGATACATGACATCAATTGACCATTGTTGACCATTCAATGTCATAGTCAACAGTTTTTCATAGATTTGCAGAAGTGCTGCAGGGTGATGTTTGAGTGCTTAAAATAAGAACTGGTGTTTTTGTGAAACCACCTTCTCGAACGTGTTATTCAGTCAAGGCTGACTAGTTAACTAATAATAAATTGATCACCACACCCGTGTCTGTCCCTACAGATGGATGGAGGCCTGCCTGGACGAGGAGTTGCCCCCCACCACAGAGCTAGAGGAGGGGCTGAGGAACGGCGTCTATCTGGCCAAACTGGGCAACTTCTTTGCACCGCACACTGTCTCACTCAAGAAGATCTATGACCGTGAACAGACACGATACAAGGTTCAACTTTTTTTCACATATTCACTAAAAGACAGTGGTGGGACTGAAATGTGACCAACCCTGAATACTGGCCAACCTTTAATGCTGGCCAGTTGCAGCTTCATTTAAAATGCCTTCAATTGTTCATCAACTGATATGATCTAAGAAAAATCTCTTGGTCAGAAAAAATAGTGCACAGTGTGTAGATTCAGGCAGAGTTGTAATTCTTTGGCATCTAGACTGAACTAGGCAAAATCTATGCACCATTTTGGACAGATTTGTACAAAACCTTTAAAAGTGGCGAGATATTTATATATTTATAAATACCTTGTTCAAAAGTATCTGAAGGTTAAACAAAATATTAGCAAAAACAACACATTGTGGCTGATATTAGCACAAATATCCAGAATGGTTAAACTTGTACAAATGTGTGGGTCTCACTAAAGTTCTTTCCATTGTATTTCAAGTTATTTTGACTCTAAATTTGGAACAACATTCCCCCTGTGTTGCCTGGGTGTGTTAACACAGCCACAATTTTTAAAGCTCATACAAAAGCAGGAAATATCACTCAGATGCTGTAAAGTGTACACACTAAATACCACTGTGCTCTGAGGGCCAAAGGTAACTTCATTTTGGAACCAGGGTTGTGTTATGGTACCATAGAGTATTGAACAGAAACATCTGAACTTTGATAACCCTGCTCAACAGTACATTTGTCACCAGCTAAATGTCCTGGATAAAGGCAGCCTTGTTTGGCCATATCTTTTGTCAGCATTGATGGAAATAAGTCAAAGGCCGTTTATGAACAAAATCTCTGTTCTGTCACACAGGCAACAGGTCTCCATTTCAGACACACAGACAATGTCATTCAGTGGCTCAATGCCATGTCAGAGAAGGGCCTGCCAAAGGTGAGTGTCACTCACACACTGAACATCATTACAAGTGTAATGTGAGAGTCTGAATATTAATTACAGTATTTCATCCAGTATTGGGTAATTGTTTTCTCACACTAGGTGGTAAAATGGCCTTCTCTCTCTAAGAACTACTGTTTAAAGAAAACTCTAACAACTAGAATAAAAACAGGTTAATAACGATTCAATTACTTTGTCCTAAATGAAAAAAGACGTGGAACACAAACATCTCCCTGCTCTTATTCAGCAATATTGAGGACACATCAGATTTCAGTTTCAGATGTCAGTTTGACACAATTAATCATGATTAACCCACAGCTGCCCTGTGATTAATCAGATCTTTAAGGTAAGATATAAGGTGAATGGCACATTGTCAAAATGTTAAGGATAATTTTAACAGGACGTTTCAAACGTGGGGAAAAACATCTACCTTTATTATTCTCTAGAAAGTCAATAATACGCTGTCAACCTAATACAGTTTTATTGTTGACTAAAAATCAATTCAAACAAATCAAACATAGATTGTTACCTTGATGCTTATATTAGTATAGTAGTATATATACTGACAGTAAAGGTTTTCATATACGAATGTCTCAGTACACACTGAGAACACGGCATTTTCCAACTTTTAACAGAAAATGAGTACCTGCCGTAATAATCCCTTATTTTATTGCCGCCCAAAGACAACACCGGAGCATGTGAATGCACATTTCCATTGTGTAATCCCTTGTTAGAGCTAATATCCTGAGTCACAGTTCAACACATGCTACAACATGCTGTCATCGACCTGTTGTGCTGTGATTAACTCTCGTCCTCGACTCTTTCAGATCTTCTACCCTGAAACCACCGACATCTACGACAGAAAGAACATGCCACGTTGCATCTACTGCATACATGCGCTCAGGTACCCTCGTTCTCTCTGTTTACCTCTCGCTTTTCCTGTTTGTCTGTACCTGATTATATCATCGGATCTCAGGTGCTGCAGTCCAGCACATCATTTCCTTATAATGTGACTCCACATAGGTGCTCAGAGGTGTGTGTGGAAATGCTGCACACCGTCTGTAGACCTGCACACAAGTGTGACGTTTTTATGAGGTGAAACTGTGTTTTTTCTCGCAGAAAGGAATTCAGTAGCTCATGGAGCTTTCATAGAAGCAGCTCATTTTTGTTATAAACAGCAGACGCATTATTGTAGTGTTTTGTGACTAGAAAAAAGGAGCAGTAATGTTGGAGAGGGGCTTTGTCAACCATAAAAGAATGGAAACAACCGAAAAAATGGTTTACTCAGAAGTACACAGAGCAGTTAATTGTTGACAGCTGTAGCAGAGGCGCCGGTACAGGTCAAAGGATATTTGTAGACGAGTCTGTGTAGACGAGAGCAGAGAGTATTTAAAAATTTAACATGCAATCACATTTTATAAATAGCTTTTTAAAGGTTAATTTAATAGAAAAATACAACAAAAAATTCAACTTTTCATCACAATAATACGTTTGTTGTCCTGTATTGAGTTTCTGTATGATACAGAGTGGCTGTTCCTAAACTATTTTGGCCACACCCCTTCTATATCCTAACCAGGTTGATGCACCTTCAACTCCATTCAACGTCAAAAAAACAAAACATGTTTTTTAATTAAATAAACAGAACACAAGTATTACACACATATATTGCCTACATTATTTAATTTATTAAAATGTCAGGTTTTTTTTATTTTAAATTTGACGCGAGATGCACCACACTCTGGGAATCCCTGATATAAAGCATGTCCTGACCTGTGACACCTAAATGTTTCACTCCCCAGGGTGCTTTGTGTTTATTTGATCTCATGTGTGTTTTTCTGTTGTCCTTTGCTTTGATTTCACAGCCTGTACCTGTTTAAGTTGGGCCTGGCTCCACAGATCCAGGATCTGTATGGAAAAGTCGATTTTACTGGTTAGTGTTTTGAAATAGTTTGTTTTCCATTCTGTACCTCCTGATGTTATGTCATCTTATATCAAGACTGCAACAAGTGTGCCAGTAGTATGTGCAATACTAGTGTAAAGTTGGGAATGCTTCACAGTTGAGTTCACAGCAAAGATCATTCAAGGCTGCGGAGCTACTGCAAAAGTAAAACTCATCAGTAATAGCAAGTATTTTCCCCCCATCTGCTGATTTCCCGCCTGGCTCTTTGTCCTAGATCCCAGAGGCAGAAATCCAATTATCACACATGAGCCAGGAACAGTCTGTCTCCAATAGTCTCTCACTTCACTGACCCATTCTGCTCCCACTCCCCTCCCTTTCTCTCCTTTCTTAAACCTCACAACATGGATCTTTTCCCTCTTCACTGTCTTGTCTGTCCCAGAGGAGGAGATCAACAACATGAAGAGTGAGCTGGAAAAGTATGGAATCCAGATGCCTGCCTTTAGCAAGATTGGTGGGATCCTGGCCAATGAGCTCTCGGTGGATGAAGCTGCATGTAAGAAGAACTCATGTCTTATAAGCAGAGAGCAGAATCTGAAGGCTGCACATGTTAGATGTCTGCAACAGGAAACCATTTTCTCCAGTCCTTAAATACTGATAAATAACATTTATCACTGATTGTTAACAAAAACACACAACACACAGTAATGTCCACAGACATTTGAACTGGCCATGTTTAACAGTAAAACATAGACTTTGGTGACTCAGTACCAGAGTTTGATCTTTTTGTAAACAAAATACAGTTCTCGCTCGTTGTTCGATGCTTGACCCATCTCTACTTCACAGTCATTTTCTAAATACAGTCACTTTTTATACAAGTCCCTTTTTAAATACAATTAAAGGCCTATAAAGTATTGGCAGGTGGTCTTTAAGGAACTTCTCCCCCCTCAGTGCATGCTGCGGTGATCGCCATTAATGAAGCCATAGACCACGGTGTCCCAGAAGGCACCTTGGCTGCGATGCAGAACCCTAATGCCATGCTGGTCAACCTTGACCCTCACTCTGCCAGAGAGTACCAAGACATGTTGTACCAGGCCAAAGGGGAGAAGGTGGCCAGCTCACGGAAACGGGTATGTGTTATTGAAGTTTATGACATGTAAAGTTCACTCTGCCTCAGCGGTTCTAACATGAAATATTTTGTCATGTTTCCTGTTCTGCTCTGACAGCAAATGGAGAATGCCGAAGCAGAAAGAGATATCTATGACGAGCTTCTCACTCAGGCTGAACTCCAAGGCAATGTTAACAGAGCCAATGGTAAGTCATGCAAGTCACAGATCTATTTGGCAATTTGTCTTGGTTTCCTGTGTACAGCTGTAACGCTGCGACCTTTCTCAAACAGTGAGTAATGCCCTGAAGGCAGCTGAGGAAGCTTTGCTGAGTGGTGACGAGGATAAGTTGTATGAGGCCCTCAAAGCCATGGGCGTTCAGAACCTGCAGGCACAGAACAAGGGCTGGTACCTCAAACAGCTACAGGCTGAACGGGAGAATAAAGAGCAGGTGAGAATTAGTGTGTGATAAAATATGAGCCCACCAGTGATGTTAGCTTCTGTTGTTTCATCATGGTGATCTCTGCTGGGTTTCTATATTTTTAGATGTCTCCAGGAGAAGTGCTGACAAAAGACGAGTTGCAGAGTGGTGTGGATGTGGCTAATCAGATCGCAGAGGGCTACTTAAAAAGTATGCAAACAATTCCTGATGGACCAGAACCACGCCTTGGTTTTAATTTATCCAATGTTGTTTGCGCTGATCATTATAATTTACCATTCATGTCTATGTGTTTTTGTGTATGTAGTGTTAAAGGCAGTAGAACGAATCAATGCAGGCATCAGAGCAGGAGTCGCAGAAGATACAGTGGAGGAGCTGATGAACCCTGATGCTCAGCTTCCTGAAGTCTATCCCAGTGCTGCAGACCTCTACCAGAGAGAACTGTTCAGCCTACAGCAGCAGAGTGCAGAGGTGAATATGACCACAGACACAGGGGAAATGGGTTAGAAAGGGATACGAAAAGGGTTAAATTGGCACCTTGAGGAAAAAGTGCTGTTGTTTATGGCAAAGAGTCTTAACATCTGACCAAGGCATAAATGTTTACAACACAGTCCAACATGTTACAAAGTGAGAACTGATTGGTTCCTCTTGATAAAATTAGGGCCTTAATAATGCATCATGAATCGGTTAAAAATCAACAAATATGTGGGACGCATTTTCCGTTTCACAAAAATCGATATAAAATTGTGAAGCATATTGTGTCATGGGTTGAGTGCGTCTTTACATTCCACTGAACGTGCTTCAATAATATTATAAACATATACTAAAGGCACAATTTAAGTGACAAACACCATGAAAAAAACCAAAACATTTTACTTGCATTTACTTGAATGCAGAAAAAAAATCATTATGTTTACCTACATGTTGCTGAAACAAGTAAATACAAATATTTGTACATGACCAGGTCCTGAAAATGTGTTTGTGTAATTTCCCCCACTGATCACTGACAGTGTTCCACCCAGTGGCTCTGTAATGGGATATTAAGGTCATATCATCAACTTTCCTTTACGGAAGCGCCAGTTCAGCAGTTTACACAGTTACCAAACACAGAAAGTGCTTGTTACGTTTGCTGGTTCATTTTTCAGATACTTAGATAATGAATTTTGCTGAGAGTTCCGTTTGTACCACCATAATGTTCTCTGTTATTAACCACACAGCTCCTCTCGTGTTTTTAGCGCACACCTTCGAATCTGTCTTCCGGCATTTCTCTGGTGACACTTTGACTTAAGAGGTAATTATTTGCTCTGTGTCCTGCAGGGTTCACTGTCCCACCCTGAGCTGCTTGTCGCTGTGGAGATGCTGTCGGCAGTTGTGCTGATGAATGAGGCGATGGATGTTGGGGACAGAGCTGCCCTCTGGAAACAACTGTCCAGTTCTGTCGCAGGGCTCAGTAATGTGGAAGATGAATATGCACAGAGGTGAGCGCTCTCTCACAGAAATGTCTGCAAAGAGACCACTGCAACTAAAACCTGAGCTATGTTGTCTGAGTGGAGTGGAGTGTTGATGTGGCCCATCATCTCTGTTTGTTCATCAGATACATGGATGAACTGATGCGTCTAAAGGCAGCAGCCAGAGAGCAGGGGAGTGACTACCTGACCTGGAATGACATCCAGGCCTGCATCGACCATGTCAACATGACTGTGCAGGAAGAACATGAACGTAGGGGATACACACACCCACACTATATTACAAATTCAAAAATTCACCTATTTTACAAGTGATATAAATTGTATAATTTGCACGTAAAGAAGTTATTAATTATTTTTTTTACTCGCAGGTATCGCTGCCATTGGACTGATCAACGAAGCCTTGGATGAGGGAGATCCCATGAAGACGCTGGCTATGCTGCAGAACCCGTCAGCTAAGCTCATGGATGTGGACCCCAGTGTGGCTCAGCACTATCATGACAAGCTGTTGGAGGCCCGCAGGGAAAAGGCCCATGTAAGACACACTGACAGCAGGCGTTGGTATTCACATAGTTCTGGTCCACAGTCTGTTCTCCTGGTCCCTCTCTTGGCTCTCGTCTGTGCTCTTATTGTCCAAGTGAGCTTAATGCAAACACATAAAGCTTGAAGTAAGAAGCTTCAGGTTTCCACTGATGAAACAGGTTTTACTGTAGCTCATACAGCTCTTGGTTTTTATCTACATTCTTGACTCAACTTTTATCTTTAACCTTACAGTCAGCAGTCTTGAGTATTGTGTCTGAGGTCTCAAAATTAGCAGAGAAGTGTTGATTCATGGGAAGTTTTGGATCCAGAAGGCCATCTGGGTTAGTAACTGTGCCAGATAACATTATGGTTTGCCAGAGTGGTGCTAGCCCTCGCCTGATGACTGCTGGGAATAGCTCCATACGACTTTGAAAAGGATTAAATGGTAGAAGATAAATGGATGGAAACACGAATGTTAGTTTTGTGTTACGTTAAGTTATCTGCTATGTTATCTTCTAAGTTTCACTACTGTGTCATCATGGCTGAGAAATATGTGACACAGATGGATTCATGTGGTTCAGGCCACTGAGCCACATGTGATTAGCCAGCTGATGTACCATGGGGTGATCATCTTTTCTCCTACTCATTTCCTGTGAAACGGAGTGTCCGTTTGTGTTAAGCCTTTGTGCTTTTCTATTTTTTGTTTGGTTATCTGCATTTCTTCCCCTAACTGTCCAAAAGGCGAAATGGCTCAAAATGATCATCATGTCTTTGCTCTTTCTCTCTCTGACTCATACACTTGGTTAATACTTGGTTGAAGGAGGCTTATGAATGCAGTTGTTGTTCATGTGGTTGTGAAGCAAATTTGCATGCATTACCACAAACACCATATTTGGATTGCTCTTCTGTCAGAGGAAACAGTGGTCTGTCAGGCAGCAGGTATGACCAGACTGCATGTACTGTGCATGACACAGTGTATAAAGGTTCACAGGAAGTGACAATCACTCAGAGACTAGTTCAAGATTTCTATAAAAAACATTTAAACAAAGGAAAAGATACATATTGTCCATGTTTAAAAGTCTTAACTTTGACATCAGGGCACATGGTCACTGCCCCTATTGTTTTAATTGTCAACATAGTTATTGTACATCAAACCCGTGTAACTAATGATGAAGAACCTTGCTTCATGTTCCAAAGAAAAAAGCTTCGGAAAAGAAAACAAACATTTTTCCGTGCTGATTACCAGGAGTAGGAAATGACGAGCTGAGCCTTGGTCATTTGTTTCCATAAAAGGACATAATGCTGACCATTATATTAAATAGGTAATCCACAAGGGCACACACACACAAACACACACACACACACACACACACACTGTCCTCTGGGCACTGGCTGCTGAATCTGGCAGTTTGCGTTGATGATCTGGAGAAAAAGGATTGGTTTGCATTTTTGTTTTTCTGTGACTGTCCTCGGCTTAAAAAGAATATATTTAATTTTAAAAAAGACAAGGATAAAACACAAAAAGGATAAATTGTGGTTTTCAGAGTGAGGGAGGAAGTTGTGTTTATAATTATAGACTGCACATTTACATACAGGTTTTAATTAAACCTTTATGTAATTAATTTGAAACATAAGTTGTTGATTTGCTGCTATTGTTTATCTATTCAGTGAATTAGTGACAGTTTGGGTTTAAACATCAGTGAAAAATAATCCAGAGTCAGAGATGGAACCAGGTTGAATAAGAACCACGCTAAATGGGGTTTTTGGGAAATTTGTATGCAACTGTGATAAAACCTTTTCTTTTTTTTTTCTACAACGTCATCACCAACAGTTAGCGAAACAGTCAGACAGATGTTGGCTTTGAGTGTAGACTGGAGGCTGTGCCCAGACAAACAGGAAGTCCTGACCAGACTTTACTGACTATCAAGCTGAATATAGGAGACCACGGGGTCTCTGCAGATGGTTATCGCTTGTATTTGTGGCCTAAAATATAACTGTTTATAGAGTACTCACATACTTTATAATGGCCTGTTCATGCTTACTAAAAGAGTTTGAAAACGGTTGTTTGGCTTTACTGGAGAGAGTTCTAGCAATAAGAAGTTAAACTAAAATCTCGTCAGCTTCTTCTATTTCCATGATGTGGCTGTAACCTGTGGGGAAACTACAGAACACCAAGTTACCGCCCAAGTCTTCATCCAGTGCCGTGGCTCACTTTGGTACCACACCCTGTCTAACACCTCCCTGTCAGCCACAGTGACTCATTTCCAACAAATACCAATTAAAATGCCCAGCACAAACCTATAAACACCAATCATTGCCTGCACTGGTACAGCTTTGTTTACTATAGAGACTGAGGCCCAGTCAGTGTCTGCCCCACTCTCTCATACTGTAGGAGACCAGATCGGGTGTCAGTCCTACCGCCCACCTCTTTTACACACATACACTTCATCTGCACTCCAAGTCAGTGTGAGGGGGCGGGACTTGCAGAGGGGAGGGTTGTCTGTAGACATCAGCGGCAGTAAGAGACACAAACTGCCAAATAAGGGGACAGAGGGCGCCACCTGGATGCAATTATGCATTACTACACTAATCTCATTAAAATTAAATCATTGCTTTGTTACTAAGGGTTGCCTGGACAAAAACATTGACAGCCCGTATTGCTAAAATATAAAGTAATTTTATTCATGGACAATTTATTAAAACATTTATCAAAAAGTTTTCTGTTAAATTAAAGGTAGCAAAAATAAAATTTATTAAAATCTGTCATGTTATTCTTAAAAAGTTGATATAACTATAAATATTGATGCAATAGTTTCATGTACAATGGGAATAAACATTCTTACAAATGAAATAATTTAGAATTGGTTACCAACATTACTCATTGAAAACACTAGGCAAACAGTTTTGGCATGAATATAAAAGCATCTTAATAAAAAAACTCAACATTTTCCCCCCTTGGTTTTCCCATAGTGAGTGATTTGTTGTTCAAGACATTTGAAGTTTAAACCCTTTTTGAACCAGTCTTGATTTTGATACCTTGTGAATTTCTCCAGGAGACTCAGGACCCGTCTGCTGTGCTGTGGCTGGATGAGATACAGGATGCTATTCTGAAGGCCAACCAGGACACACGTGAAGCCTTCCAGTGTAGGAATATAAACCAACATCATGATTTACACACATTTAGTTTAATTTTCCTAACCCAGGATAATGTTAAATGTTTACATTCATAGTTGCCCAGTCCATCCAAACTATTAATGAGGCAGTGGACAGTGGAGAGGCATCGCAGACATTGGCTGCTCTACGAAACTCTGGGGCAGGACTCTACGGTGTCACCTCAGAGTGTGCCCAAACCTACCAGGATGACCTGTCAAAAATCAAGGATGAGAAAAAGAAAGAAGGTGAGGCCACAAAATAAGTCATGTAGTGACTATCTATAACTATGTTATTGATTTTGAAATTTGAAGAAATTATTTGATTAACATTCAGCATTACTGTCCAGGGGATAATGGCAGCGAGTGGGTAAAGCACTGGGTAAAGGGAGGACATAACTATTACTACAACTTGAATACTAAAGAGGGAACCTGGGTAGAACCAGAGGGCTTCCTGCAGAACAACACTCAGCTCAACAAGGAGGACATCCAGGTAAAAACCCTGTTCTATCTCAACACTGAAAACTATATTTAATATATATCACCAAAAAATTTTTTTCCCTCCACCAAATCAGTCTGTGGTCTCTGGAGTAACCACAGCTTACAACAGAGAGCAGCTCTGGTTGGCTAACGAGACGCTCATCACGAAGCTGCAAGCTCGTTGTCGTGGTTACTTGGTCAGGAAAGGACTAAAGGAACGGATAGAGTTCCTGAAAACACAGGAACCAGCTGTCACACGGATACAGGTAGGGCTGATCTCTGCCCAGGCCTGAAGTTGAACCACCTGTCAGCAGTACCGTGTTACAATGGCTCTGTTTGTTCTTATTTATTCTCCTCTTAGGCCCACTGGAAGGGCTACAAGGAGAAGAAGAAGTTTAAAGATCGCAAACAGTTTTTGAAAGATCATACTGATGATGCTGTGAAGGTAAAATCACATGTAATCTACATCAACAGCTTCATTTTTAATGTTCTATCTAAAATTCAGGAGTAAACGCTATGTTTTTGTCTCCTTTAGATCCAGTCCATGGTTCGAATGCATCAAGCTCGTAAAAAGTACAAGGATCGTCTCAAGTACTTCAGAGATCATGTTAGTATTTGAATTTTAAAACCCTGTTACAGGAGAGCTGCAAATTAAGTTTTTGACAGATCTAATCAAACAAGATAAGACATGTAAAATTTACTCTCACAAAAATCCAAGTTTTCAGTGAGCAAATTACTTTTTCCCTAATGACTCCTTTAAATCATGAGGCTTTGACATTAATTTCCCTGGAACACATCCGCTGACTTTTCCCCAGGTCCTGTAGTGCTAACGGTTCATTTAGCACTCTGACATGTGTGAAGTCATTTCCACTGTGGATCTTCTTGGGTTCCTGTCGAGCTATGTATAATTAGGACTATTGATCAGCCCTGTCATTGTTGCTTGGTTTTGCAGATCAATGATGTGATAAAAATCCAGGCCTTCATTAGAGCTAACAAAGCCAGGGATGACTACAAAACACTGAGTAAGTAGAATCTTCTTCTTTTCTTCACATTCTGTGATTTGGTCCCTCAACTGAGTCCTGCCTTGATTCACTTTTCTCTCTGATCTTTCTGCATTCAGCTAGTGCTGAAGATCCTCCAATGGCAGTGGTGAGGAAGTTCGTCCATCTGCTGGACCACAGCGACCAGGACTTTCAGGAGGAGCTGGAGCTGATGCGGCTGCGAGAGGAGGTGGTCACCAAGATCCGCTCCAACCAGCAGCTGGAGAATGACCTCAACCTGATGGATATCAAAATTGGCCTTCTGGTGAAGAACAGGATCACCCTGCAGGAGGTGGTGTCGCACAGCAAGAAGCTGACAAAAAAGAACAAGGGTCAGCTGTCCAACATGATGATGATGAACAAGCAAAGAGGAGGCCTGAAAGCACTGAGCAAGGAGAAGAGGGTCAAACTTGAGGCTTACCAGCATCTGTTTTACCTGTTACAGGTACAGAAACTTTGCATCCTTCTTACTAGACCAAACAACAGCTGTTTTACTGCCCCCTTAAATAACACCATATTTTTCTCCTTTCAGACCAACCCCACTTACCTGGCCAAGCTCATCTTCCAAATGCCACAGAACAGGTCTACGAAGTTCATGGACTCCGTTATCTTTACCCTGTACAACTATGCCTCCAATCAGAGAGAGGAGTATCTGCTTCTCAGGCTCTTCAAAACTGCCCTGCAGGAAGAGATTAAGTATGAAAGAATAAAATTCAAATAACCAGTTTTACTATTATTATTATTTTTTAAATGGCTAAATGTTATTTTACCAACTGTCTGCAGGTCCAAAGTTGACCAGATGAAAGAGATTGTTACAGGAAACCCAACAGTCATTAAGATGGTGGTCAGCTTTCACCGTGGAGCACGAGGACAAAATGCTTTAAGGCAAATCTTAGCACCAGTCGTCAAGGAGATCATGGAGGACAAAACATTAAACATCAAAACTGACCCCGTGGACATTTACAAGAGCTGGGTCAACCAGATGGAGACGCAGACAGGGGAGGCCAGGTGAGCTGGAGGGGATGGCGCTACAGTGAAACCAAATGTCTGCAGTGTCTTGAAGCTTCTCTGCTTTAAATGCTGAACTGGTCTTTAGTAGTTATCTTGAAATGTCAATCCTTTCACTGTTCAGTTCCAGGAACTATAAAAAAACAACCTCATTACTACCTTTTCTAAGGAAGAACAAGCAATCAGAAATAACAATCCTCGCTCAGTTTTACATATCCACTGGCTGATTAACATCCTTTTCCCCATTCTTTTTCTCCTTTCCACATTTTGAAGTGATATCCTTGATGTGATGTGCACATAATGGTCTAAAAACCCATCACACAAAGGCTGTGGTTTACTGTGAAAGTAGTTTAGACATACATTTTCCTTAAGTATTGTATTTAATACGTTGGGTTTTTTTAACCATTGTACTACAGTAATTTCGCTCTGTGACGCAGCTTTGAGAAAAGAAGTCTTGACTGTAGTCTTCAATAGCAGTAATCTCTTCACTATTCAGAATGTCCTGCTCTTAAGAATACCATTCGTGGAGCACTGATGAAGCACAGTGTTCGCAGTAGTAACAGATACAATTCTTGGTTCTTTTCTCATCCTCTCATTTCTTCATCCGTCTCATCGTTTCCCCTCTGCCAACAGTAAACTGCCCTACGATGTTACACCAGAGCAGGCCATGACCCATGAGGAGGTCAGGACAAGACTGGAGGCCTCTATCAAAAACATGAAGACCATCACTGACAAATTCCTCTCTGCTATAATCGTTTCGGTGGATAAAATCCCGTATGTTCACAGTTAACCGCATTCTTTTCCTGTTTAACTTTAATCAAATCTACCTGACATGCTGCAATCCATGATGTCCATGTGGGTTTTGTTCAACAGATATGGGATGCGGTTCATTTCCAAGGTGCTCAAGGACACTCTGCAAGAGAAGTTTCCAGATGCAACAGAGGATGAACTTCTCAAGGTTTTTTATTTTATTTTACTGATAGGTGTATTTCAATAAAATGTTGATCATTTTGTTTTTTCAAATTTTCCCCACATTTTTCCTACTTTTTCCTGCTGGTGCTTTTTTTTTCTACCTTGCTCCAGCTTCTCTCTCTGGAACTGCTGTGTTCTTCTCTCTGTTTGCTGACACCAAGGTGAGCCATGACGCTCTTTTGGCTCCCGCTCTTTTATTTCTGCTCTTACTTCATATTGCTTTTCTTTCATTGTCAGTTTTGAAATAGCATTTCTCAAATCTTTAAAACCCTGTAAGAAGGTTTGAATGCCTTCTGTCGAGATTTTAACAGAAAAAATTGCTCTGTGTTAAACTCTTCTTACTGACAATGTATCAGTAAAACAAAGGATGAGAAAAATTAAATAATATAATAAGAATTAGGACAAATAAACTAATCACGTTAATGGAGGACAGATACTGATCCTAAATGATATCGTTAATTATATTTCAGATGCTGACCGTTATAACTAACATTTAATTGTAACTCCTCAGATCGTGGGGAACCTCTTGTATTATCGCTACATGAACCCAGCCATCGTGGCGCCTGACGCCTTTGACATCATCGAGGTGTCGGCAGGTGGAGCACTGACCACTGAGCAACGGAGAAACCTGGGCTCTGTAGCCAAGATGCTGCAGCATGCTGCCTCCAATAAGATGTTCCTCGGGGACAATGCCCACCTCAATCCCATCAACGAATATCTCACGGCTTCATATCAGAAATTTAGGTCTGATTTTTTTTATTTGCTGTATGGAAGTGTTTCTGTTGGTCCAGTTTTATGTTCTTATCTGTGTTTATCCGTCAATGCAGGCGTTTCTTCCTGGCAGCTTGTGATGTTCCCTCGCTGGAGGATAGGTTCAATGTGGATCAATACTCAGATTTAGTCACCGTTACCAAACCTGTCATCTACATCTCCATTGGAGAGATTATTAACACTCACACAGTGAGTCAGAGCATAAAAAAAATTACATTCAAATCTTGTTTTATCACTGGAAATGTTATGTATGACTGAAGTGGTGACCCGCTGTTTCTCACATGTCAGCTGCTCCTGGACCATCAGGACGCCATCGCTCCAGAACACAATGACCCCATCCATGAGCTGCTGGAGGATCTGGGTGAGGTTCCCACAGTGGAGTCACTCATAGGTAAGTAAACTGAGAGGAAAAAGGCAAGAAATACTCATCCACTGAATAACAGGAAGTTGGTGAGATATCACAGAATGCTACTGTGAGGATACATATGACGGCATCTCAGGCTGTCCATGTAGGACACCGTACTGAAAGATTATGTTCACATATGTTTTGTCCTGATGCCAAAAATACACTTTACTTATATAGAGACATTTACAAACGGAAACCAAATACATTATTTTTACTCAATGCTTAAAGTTATCTTTGTACTTACAACAAGTACATACTGTAAGATAGAGTCAATACAGCTACAGTAATTCTATAACATTTATGTGTTTAAAAAAAAAGCACTAGGACTTTATACTGGAGTCTGTAGAATAGTTAGGTCTGGCCATACCCTATACATGGATCTCGGGGGTTCCTCACCTCCTACTTGTCCCAGTAACTACAGGCATGTGTTGATGATGTGTGTATTTTTAGGAGAAAATCCTCTTCCTCCTGACGACCCTAACAAAGAGCTCATGGGTAAAGTTGAGGTTTCACTCACGCTCACTAACAAGTTTGATGTACCTGGCGAGGCCAACACCGAGATGGATGCCAGGACTTTGTTGCTAAAGTAAGTCTATAAGTCAAAGTCAACAAGTCAAAAAGTCTGGATTAATATCCTGATTTAGAAGATTAAAGACAGATGGATGCAGTGGTTTTGGACCTTCCTTTTTTTCTTGTTGTTAACTGTTTTAATTTTTTTCTCTAAAGCACAAAGAGGCTCATTGTGGATGTGATCCGGTTTCAGCCTGGGGAGACTCTTACAGAGATTCTTGACTCAACACCAGGCCCAGAACAGGTTAGTAAAAAGAACTTTAAGGTGTCGCTTTACACCTTTTAAACTGAAGATACAGCTTTGTTTGATAAAACACTTTTGTTCAATTAAATTAACTCCCTGAATGGAGAAACAAACTGACACTATTTTACTGGTGGACAGGAGGCAGAGTACCAGCGGGCCATGCAGAGGAGAGCAGCCCGAGATGCCAAGACTCCAGAGAAGATGAAGCAGGTTAAACCTGTGGTGGACGACAGCCTGACGCTGCAGGGGAAGAAGGAGAAAATCAAGAACAACCTGCAGAGACTGGCAGAGCTGGGGAAGGTTGACCCGGAGAACCGCTACCAGGACCTTATCAATGACATAGCCAAGGTAGAGAGGACTATGTCTATATACCACTAATGTAAAAACAGTAGGATTTTGTTTGCATGTAGTGTACAAGTTACATGTTCCTTTTCAACAGGACATCAGAAATCAGAGGCGGTATCGTCAGCGTCGGAAAGCTGAGCTGGTGAGACTTCAGCAGACGAACAACGCTCTGAATTCGAAAACCAATTTTTATAATGTACAGATTGATTCATACAATCTGTACATCAAGTCTTGCATGGACAGCCTGACCAGCAAGGGCAAGTGAGTAGCTTTAATATTATATTTCCTATTATTAGCTCCTAACAATAAGAAATAAAACACATCTCCAAAATAGTCTCTATAATAATATAATAATAATAATAATAATAAAAATATAAAATACCAATCTCCAGCTAATACTTGCTTAAATTAAGAGCGAAACAACATACACCTGGAGTGTAACATAAGGATATCCTAACAGAGAAAGCTATGCATATATTTTTTTTTCTCAGAAAATTAGGACCACCACCAAATGGTGTTTGTATTGCTATGACCTATATTTTAATCTTAACACTTTTTGCAGTTTTTAATATAATACTATATTTACAATAATATTTGTCACTGTCTATTATTGATAAGATTTTATGAGCACACAGCCTACAATGCTGAGTATGGTGTTGTATGTTATTAATTATATTTGTGCTTGATATAGTTTGCCTAACAGTGAGTCGCTCATTATTGTTTCACTACATATAGAGGATTCACAGACTTACTGTATGCCTTAATCAGAGCTGAAAACAGGACCTTAAGCTAACACCTCCTGTCTCATGTCTCCTTGTTTAAGGCACATGTACGACACGTGAGAAAGAAGCAGAACTAGGTCACATGTAACAAGGCGGTGACTCACTGTTTATTATAGAACACCTGCTGATTTTAAATATTTTAACAATAAATAGGGGGCTGTTAAGGCCCTGAGCTGCTGCAGGAAATAACATTCAGCTGCAGTCAGACAAGCGGTGCCCCAGTTACCAGGGCTGTTTTTTTTCCCCCTTTTTTAAAGCCTGACAAAGTAGACTAAAAATGGACAGACAGATAAGGAACTGAGTTTGTTTTGACTTCAAAATTTCAAAAGATAAACTGGGTTTCGTTCATACTGTGGGAAAAGTGGAGGAGAATTATACTATACTGTTGTTTTCAGGGCTGAAAGAGCTCAAAAATGTGAACCTCCAGAGCAGAACCTCTGTAGTTTGAGAAGCATTGTTGTTTTTCTGAATAAAATTATTGTTTATCCTCCTCAAATATTAGATGACCACAACAGATGAGGTCGATTCTAGATTCAGCTACTAAATGCATTTGATTCCCTGTGTGCCACATGGTTCTTACACACTCATCGTCAGAGATGCTATTGTCTGCTCTGATACACTTGTCTCTCTTGTTGTCGTCAGGTTGTCAAAGAAACAAGGCGACAAGGCCAAGAAAAGTAAACAGGTCTCCCAGAAGTACACGGCCTCTCGCCTCCATGAGAAGGGCGTGCTCATCTCTATAGAGGATCTCCAGCCCAATCAGTGAGTTGAGCTAAAACCACAGCTAAGAATTGGGTTCTACTAGAACCCCCACAAAATGTCATAGAGAGAAAGTCCAAACATGTATGTACAGCATTTATAGGCTGGTTTCCATTCTTTCATTGAATGTTTTCCTTGTTAAGTGTTTGCATAATATCATGACTTGTTTATTTTAAACTCTTTATTTTATTTCAAGGATAAATGGTCTTTATTGTAATTTTTCCTCTTTTTGCCCCAATAATGAAAATTATATTAAGACTTTCTTCTGCTTGCAGGTTCAAGAATGTTATTTTTGAGATTTCACCATCAGAGTCTGTTGGAGTGTTTGATGTGAATGCCAAGTTCATGGGCGTCCACTTGGAGACGTTACAGCTAGAATACCAGGTATTGTTTCACACAGCAGCAGCTCAATGACAGATTTCCTACGACTTACTGAGGGTGAGTTTGGCTGGTTTTTACAAAGACTCTCACACTGCCATGTTTTTTTTTTCTCAGGATCTTCTTCAGTTGCAGTATGAAGGGGTGGCTGTGATGAAGCTCTTTGACAAGGCCACCATCAACGTGAACCTACTCATTTTCCTGCTCAACAAGAAATTTTATGGAAAATAGAGAAGGATAGACAAGAGGGCAAGAGACTCTGATTAAAACCACAACGCCCACTTTGAGGGCTGCTGAGCACCCTGACCCAAACCACCCTACCCATCCCACACACGTCTTCTACTGCACTTCACCTATGTGCCTATGCAAATTTATGTGCATTATTTTAATTATGTGGATTATCATTTTTGCTTTCACTCTTGATGCGGCAGTCTAGTTCCTCACTCTGGTAGGGGAACCACAGACACTTGCTGGAGTCTTTTTTACTGTCTTTGTTACTGTAGCTAGATCAGAACTCTAGCATTTGTTCTGTTTTTGCTTTAAATGTTAAAAATATCTTGTGCATGGGCTTATTATTATTAATTATAAAAAATATGTTTTATGTAAAGAAACTGTTTTATGTCTTTCTTAGCTTTTAGTTCGTCTACTCATCTGACTGATAAAACTTTATGGCTATCATCAAGTGAAAGAGTACTCTTTTAGACGGACTAAATACAGGAAATGAGTCCTGGTCTTAGTCTCAGTGACTCATCTCTTCTCTGTGACATTTTGTGTTTTGGTCTAGTGGATCAAAACAAGTTATAGGACAGACATGACAGACATGGTTTACTTTGAGAAAACATGTCTGGAATTAATCTTTTCTTTCCCTCTTTTTCAACATAAGCCACGTGTCCTTCAAAGCAGACACAATGACACATCATACATGGTAAATACACAAGAAATCAGACTTGCAGTAAACAAATAAAATTCCAATGCTCATATTGAGCCACCAACTCAATTTTCTTTTCTTTTTTTTACAAACATTTTAAATTTAGAATTAATATGTTCTCACCAACTAACCACATCTTACCCTGTTGTCATCTCTCTAACTAAGCAGGTCAGGTTGTGGTTTTATTTAGGAGTGGTCTGAATGGCCCAAGACTACAGCTCCAATAATGATGGTTAGAGAAATACACAACTCAAAGTTTTTACTTCTTTTAATTCTTATTACAATCAGCGGAAAAGAAGATGTAACTTGTGTAGAATACTTTGCAGATTGGCTCAGATACTGGGCTAAGGTTAAATACAGAAAATTATATATAAATATATAAAAAAATATACACAGTGAATGCTGGATCTCTGGGGGAAGTATGGTGGAGTAAAGAATCTTTGAATGGAAAAATATTTTTCAAAGAATTAGCAGCAGTTTAAAAGATATTGACAACCATTTTGACCGACATTTGTTAATGAGACATTTTTGAGAAATTTAATTAAAATGTATATAAAAAATGTAAACATCAATAAAATAAAACTGAAATAAATACAATGTTTCTATGCAGTTTTTTTTCATATGTAGGTAAGCAGAGATAAGGCTGGGGATATGCAGTGTTAGTGTGCAACATCTATTTTGTTTTCCTTATCTTTTTCCTCTATAAAAGAGCATTGCTGTCATCATACCTGAGAATAAAATGACCTATGTATAATACATCACATAAAAATGAATGAATTTTTTTCTTATCTTTGTCTACAATTAAATGACTCCAAATGACTAGTTTTTGAGATTTTTCGAGGCAAATCTTCTGCATTATCAGTCCATCCATGTTTTGGAAATCGCCTAAGCTCTTTGAAATTAGTTCATGGAGCACTACATAACAAATCACGGATCGTGTTAGATATGAATATGCACATTCAGTAGTTTAGGAGTAATTTATTATGCAGTGCAGTATGTTTCACAGAAGCTGACACAATGTAGCCTGTACAATTGGTGAGTGAAATGTGCAACCAATTAATATAATTTCTTAAAATAAATGTACACCTCGTATGAGTTTTATTATACATAGCGCTACACCTAAGCTGGGTGGAAGGCTGGAAGGTGTTATTAACGACTTTGTCGCCGCCTGGCGGACATTATAGACATTGGCGCTGGTAACGAGGTAATGTTTTTCTGGCAGTACTGCGAGGTGGATAACGAACCATCCGACCCGACGTGCAGCTCCTACCCTTGACAAGCGACGGCGAATCAGGCTGAAACAACAGCAACTGTCATCTGAAGAACCCTCGGTTAAGCAGTTACAAAAGGGGAGAGTTTTTTTCGTTTTAATCTATCAGCGCTGGTTCATGTTGACGGTCTGCGGGATAGAGTTTGTCTGACGTCTCTTCGCTGTCCATGGATTAACCACAGGACCTGACTCCGAAACGCTGTCATATCAGCTACAGGGAAATTGAGGATCGGGCGCCTGCATCGTTTGTCAAGTTTTGAATTCATTTTTGGATCTTGTTTTCTGGTTTTAGGAGTCAGAGTCAACATTTAATTCGAAGAGAAACTGCTGGACACTTGTTGAAATAGCGAAAACACTTTGGCCAACCTTTGCTCTGAGCTCCGCTAATGTCAGAAGCGAGATTTAGCCAAGGAGGCTAACAACTTTCTCTGACACCAGCCACAAACCGCTTGGCACCTAATCCTTTCTGTTGCTCGTGTGTTGCATGTTGACCAAAGTCGAGTGTCCGCAACGCGTTTGTCCGCGGTATGGAGATATGACCGACTACAATTAAGCTGACTTAGCTCGCTGTCTGAGCTGCAACGTTATGTTTGTTAGCACTGACAGCTAACAGTGTCAACGCTACATTCAAACAAGTGGTTCACTGCAAGTGTGTTAATGTGAAAGTTGTTTCGTGCTTTTAACAACTTCTTTATAAGGCGCCATCACTCTAAGAAGTCAGTATTTATTTGGAAACACTTATTTGCATAACGTTAATGTACCTGGCCTTTAAGGTATAATGTGCGAAGTTATTTTTAATATTAAGAGCTGAATTGTTAGCTTAGCTAAGTTAGCCCATATCTGGACTTACTTGGTAACTCAGGTTCGGAGTGTAAGTGAAACTACTTCTAGTCTAACTTGTCAGTAATGTGCGCAGTGCTTTGAACCCTGATGGGTTCCATGAAGCCTTTATCAAGTGACTTAAAGGAATAAACTTTCAGCACTACCCCGCATTTTTAAAGAGTAACTAAGTAGCTGAAGTTGTTCAACTGCGGCCCGCACAATGTCCGGCTCCCCGGGCACAGGTGGCTCAAACCCCAGGAAGTTCAGTGAAAAGATTGCGCTTCACAACCAGAAGCAAGCAGAAGAAACCCGGGCCTTTGAGCAGCTGATGACAGACCTCACGGTTTCAAGGGTAAATACTTCCAGTTTTGTTCTAAGACTCTTGTTTCGGTGCTGTTTTCTTTTCCTTTCTCCTGAACTGTGGTTTTGATTGTCTCATCCCATCTGTTGACTGAGATTTTTTTTTGTGGCTCTCATCTATTTCTTCCATGCATTCATTCAGCACCACTGGACACTGTGCTGCAAATCCATTAAAGACAAATGTGGTTTACATTTGTTCTTCAGTGGTTGTCACGCATTTTTATTACAATATTACCATCAGAGAAACAGGAAATACAAAAGTGGCAAGTTGAAATTGGCACCACTCACCCAGACTTTCTCTAGGTGTTCTGTTCTGAACGTGTACAGCCCAAAGACTCATTGTTGTCTGTTCAGATGTGAACGTTTAGGTGTTGTACGTCATGATTTCAGACTGTTCCCACCAAGAGTGGGACCAAGTCGGGGATTCATCCTGAATGAATTTTAGATTTGTATTTACCACACTATTTCCAAGTATTTATTTACCCAACCCAAAAGAAAACATGTTCATTGTATTGCTTCTATATTATGGTCTTTCAAGAGAAGAACAATTTTGAGACATCATATTGACTCACGTGCATACTTTACAATTGAACTTCACTGCAGAAGTCTATATCAAGCTGGACTGTTGCCTTAGCCCTTTGATGTTAGAACAGAGGGGTTTTGACAGATGTCTGACAGATGTTACTTTATAGTTAGACACAGGACCAGCAAAACTACAGGAAGTTGTGATTAAAATGTTTCTTCCAGTTACTAATAAGCTACAGTAAGCAAGCCTAAGCAAGCATGGTAGTTGATCATTGTAGTCAGGTCTTAGATTTTAGCTTCAAACACTTTTCTCTCTCTCTTTCATTATTTTACCACATTGTTGGACATTTAAGTCATCCAGAGTAAACATTTTCCATGGTAGGAATAGCATTGTTGGCTATTAAAGCAATTTTCACAGTATTCTCTCTTTCACAGTATATCACTGGTTTACAATCCACTCTTTCTATATCAGCGGGAGTCCTGAGTGGCATTGCACAGAGGATATGGTTGTATGAGAGGACACAGACATGAGCTTTACTGTAACCTGCCAGTGACCTCTGTCAGACAGAAAAAAGCAGTGAGTGTGACTGAAGTTAGTCAGGAAACAGAACACATTGCCTGCAAACAGCTGGCCTGGAAGTAGCTGTTTTAGCATATACACTGCAGTAGACCAAAATGTTGGTCAGTGTGATGTCACTGAGGCTGGGAAGCCCTGAACTTGATACTGATGCACAATACAATAGAAGTATTTCTGGGCCTACAATTTACCTATAAGGCTATCACATCGTTAGGAAAATGATTAATGATGTTACATTGAGTCTTAATTTCTAATGACTTTAGCAAAACAGTATGGCCATGACTCCATCCAGGTTTTATCTGCTTTCTTCATTTGTCATAAGATTGGCATCTCCAGAATTACAGTGACTAAGGGGGAACAATGATGGTTATTAAGATGTGCATAGCATTTTTAACATTACCGCTGAGTGGTCATTTCTACATTTTCTTGATGTCTTTTATGAATCACCCCATTGATTCTTTAATTTGATTTTAAAGTTAAATGAAGCATCATATGAAATGTATAGTTTAGAGATGTGGTTTTCTATTTAGTTAAATATGTGGTAAAAACTACTTCCCTGAAAGGAATGCTTGACCCATACTATACCATTTCACAAAATAACATGCCAGACATTTATTTCAGTTTAAAATTCCTAATACACGTTTTAAGACTTTCTGCTTATCACAATTTTAATTAATGCCTGGAATATAATAAAAATATTTTATCAATTACTAATGCTCAAAAAATCATGTAACTATGAAACAAAGCAATTACTCGACTACCAAACAGTTAATTTTAATTTTATCTGCTTAATTTTCTACAACTGAATTATGAAAAAAATGCTTAGAACCAAAACTTGTCTGTATCCAGTTCTGATGAGTTTTGCTGTGCAGTCATTTATTACTTTACAATGAAACAGCAAAAACAAAGCAAGTTCATTTTAAAATAAGGGAATTTAAGGCCACCCATATTTCTATTTTAACTGAATATTGTAAGCATGTAACAGTATTTACAGTTTTGTATTCTCCTCCCTTGCATCTTTGGCAGGGCACACAGTGCTGTACTGAATTGATGCCATGCTATTTAGGTTTCCGACAAAGCTATGACCATCTGGCCTACACACCCCACTGGTGTAATGCAGGCCAGATTGACGTTTAGCATTTCAAAGTACAACAGAACTGAATGCACTAACCCATTTATGAAAATGCAGATTTCTGCTGTTCAAATCAATATCTTCAGGTAGTCATATATGCAATGAAATCAAAATACTTAAATCAAGATTTAACTCTTAAATTTCAGAATAAAAGCAAAAATAAATGAATAAAGAAACACACTATTTAACAGGCAGTAGAAGAAGCAATTGCCAATACATATACAATACAGTACATACGTATAGTTTCTCCTGTATTTAACACGTAAACAACAGCAGTAAGCACAGACATGAGCATGGGAATTCTGGTGGCCACTCAATGCACCATTTCTCTGCCCAGTCCAGGTTGTGAGCTCATCATCCTACCTCTAATAAAGGACTTAGAAGTCTTTATATGTGGCAGTTGATGTTCTTATCTGATGATTTGTCACATTCAGAAATACAGAACATTGTGGTTTGGTTTTAAATCGTACTGTTGTAAGCTGTGGTCTTTCCGTCATACCCACAGTGCCAACCTTCAAACCCCCACTGTTTAGGTAACAGTTTTCTAACCCACTGTTTCCCTGCAAGGCATGACTGTTTCTTAAACCTTTTATTACTTAAACATGGCTGTGAAAAAGATAACTGTAACCCTAAACTGGAATTATACAAAAACATCCTCCAATCTTATTGCATATTAAAAATGACATTCTACAGGGTTTTTTTTACAGAACAGTAAGAGATGGAGTGTTCTGTTGAGATGTACTAAGCTATGTCCCAGGGAATAGAATGGACCAGTTTTTCCACCATGATCGGTCCTAACTTGCGACCTGGCTGTCCAGTGCATGCATTGCTGGTTTTGCAGCTTATCATTATGCATATGCTTTCTTTTTCAGTGTGTGAGCCCATTCTCAGAAGCTGGAAGTAATACAGAGTTATCTTGAAAGTACATTACTGCAAGTGAAGAAAGCTTCAATAAATCAATATGAGCATTGTAGATCCACAACCAGTGCATGGTCTGTGGTCTGGGTTTACACTGAAAATCACTGGTCTGGTCCCAGATGGTAACTAATGGTCTTACTAAAAAGTTATGTGTCTGCTTTCTTTCCTTTTTGACCTACAGGTGCAGTTTCAAAAAGTCCAGCAGCTACGCTTGTCTCAGCCTCGGATGCCATATTATGGAGGTTCTCTGCCTAATGTCAATCAGATTAGCAACTCAAACACAGAGTTTCAGGTGAGATCTAATGATCAAAACTGTAAGCAACAACAAATAACATTATTTTTACTTAGATTTGATTAACTTAGATTAAACTTCTCAACTCAAAGAGTTGCTAACATGGGAGTGGGTTGCATTAGGCATCTGCACAACATTTAAATTCACGATGAAATGTTTCCTTTATATGTCCTTTATTTCACAGGTATAGAGCTGTTCAAATAAGTTGATTTTATTTAATAGATTGTGGCTTTTATTTAAGAAAAATATATCAGAATATCAAAAGACATGGTACTTTTCTTTCCAAGTCTGCAGCTGTTATTTTCATGTATTATTTTTTTAAAGGACTTTTTAAAGCCAAAAATGTTTAACTACACCGGCCATAGAAAAATACAACAAAATTGGACAGTGAATCTTAAGAATAGCAAATCTTAAAGATTCAGGGAAGATAAGGAGACGTGAATAATTCAGACATGTTTCTAAAGATCAGCGAGGAGTTCTCTGCACAGCTTTGAGCAATGTTTTGTTGTGTCAGTTAACAGTGGTTGCTCTGTAGCCCAGAGCCTGAATCTGTGTCAGCTCTCCAAGGAGGGAGCTGTGCTGAGACAAGTGGGTGTGAGTAAAAGTGTCCTTGTTAATGGAGAGAATGGCTCTTTGAGGTAAAGCAGTAATTGCAGTACTTTGCAAGGTCCAGAAATCAAACCCTGCGTGAACAAAAAAAAGAAAGTCAATCAACCTTTTCAAGGCTGTTCAAGGCTTGACTTGGCTGTTCAACCCAAGTTAGACCTTTTGGCTTTTTTGAAAATATTTGTTTATCTATAATCAAAGCGAATAAATCCTTTAGTTTTAATGTCACTGTCTGTGTCATCCAAATGTATAAAGTTTAAATTCTGTATACATTTAAAAATTTCATGTTGCCAAAATAATTCTGGCAGTGCTGGTGTTAATACTCCAGATGAAACCTTTTAAACAGCAGTGTTTATAGATAATGCAGCAGAAAAGAAAACAGTGCTTTGGAGTAAGGATAATGTCATGTCTGTATATTATTTCAGGGAACATACTATACTTACCGTCAAGCTTGATTTCATAATAGGATTGAACGATATCATCAGATCATAATAAACTACAAACTGATAATGTGTATTGCTCCCCAGAGTGGCTTCTCCTCTGGATTGGACTCTGTCAGAGGAACTCGCCACCATGGCCTGGTCGAAAGGGTTCACAGAGACCGCAATCGGATCAATTCGCCCCATCGTCGACCCGTTGACAAACACGGACGGCAAATATCCTTTCAACTTAGGAAATGCTGCTGAAAGCTTACTTACACACCCTTCCTTATAGCTACATACATAAATATGGTGGCATGTATTCACATATGAACACTATTGTAGAACATCTGAGCTAATATGAACAAATAAGGTTAGTTTTCATTCAGTATTTTTATTATATTTCTAGTCAAATCTAGTGACTTAACTAATGAGGTATTACATTTTCCATAAGTAAACAACTTTACACACAGGTTTCACTGCTGAAAGTAATTACATTTATAGTTATTTTCTAAACATGGTTTCTTGACTTGGATATTTAACATATATGTAGCAGTCATAATTGTGTCTGCATGTACACACCAAGTAACGAGGATAGCCTCGGGCTAACGGAAACACACATACTTCTTTGACCTGTAAACCAATCATATATCCTTTTGATTTGATAAAAAAAATAGAACAGTTTCAAGTTAGTGTGCACATTGATCAAATATTCATGTGATATGCTGTAGCAAACCTGTGGTAAAGGTTACTGTTGTTTTGTTTTGGGCAGGGAGCCATTGCACCCTAATTTAACTAGAGAAATACGAGTATGTAATTTCTCCAATATTAATTTAAGAAAGTTTTCACTTCAACTTTCTTAGAAATACAGCCTGTTACTACTGGATAATCTTACTGCAAGGCAAAACCACTGGATACTTCTCATGTGTCCCTTCAACCATTAATCTAAATATTACGATTTAACAATTTTAAAAAAATGATACAACCAATGGTTGGATTTAGACCCAACAATAATTAGTCTGGTTTACTTTAACTGCTAACCACACATGTCTCTCTGGATCTTGTCCTAAAAATGATCTAACTCACTATCTTGTGTGAGAATGGCTTGACACAAAGAAGAGGCAGATCAGATTCAATGTCACTCTAGTGCACTATTTGTGGTATATGTGACGGATTGCATTTCTGCTAAATATCATTATAAAAGTCCATTGTTAGATATGTTCTAGAAAAGCCACATTTTGTGTGGACAAATGAGAATCATTAGAAGAAACATGTAAAATCTGTAACATACATGATACAATCAGTTTATCTTGGTCAAGTATTGTGTTTTTCCCCATCAAATTAATAAGAAAAGTGAGGGAAATTGTGAAATTTCCTGGATAAATACATAACGTTATAGACCTAGAAAAAAATGATCCTCACATTCCTTTTTCAAATATTTTAAAACTAATGGTTATCTTGCCCGACTTGTTATAATTATTGTTGCAAACTCAGTTTTATTTTCTGCTTATAAAGGTTATTTATTAATAATAATAATAATAATAATACATTTTATTTATATATACATTTATTTATTAATGATATACTTTGAAAGTGTAGTGTACATGTGTGAGGATATTAAACAAGTCAATCGTCAAAATAGTTAAAGGAACTTGCAAATTAAAAGTGAAAATGTTGTTTGTGTCTTATATCTAACCAGGGTACTAAATTTCAAAAACAAAAATGTGGTTAGTGGCTGTGACTAGAGAAAGAGATGTCTTGTCTTTTTTTAGCCTTTTACTTTTGTCACTCTCACCTCTTTGTATGTTACGTAGGATTGGCTGATTCTTTATTCTTCTGTACACACCATTAGACAATATGAGTTAGGCACTTAGATTAGGTTTGCCACAGTTGATGGGTGTGTGGACCGAACATTTGAATAAGTCAGCCGACCTGTTCAACAGGATAGTTCACTCATTCTTTGCATATGAAAAAAGGTCGATCATGCTGTTCTTCCAACTTAGCTTGTAATGAAGCTAAAGAAATATGCGGATTACTGCAAATGAGAAAGGGCAGCGTTTGAGTTGTTGTGAATCTCCTCTCTGCTGCTCATATTTTTTTTAAAGGCTAAACAGATTTTCTGCACTACAGTGTTTGACCTTCTGCAGCACTTGAGCTGTTTGTTGAACGTTCAACATTTTCATTTCACCACCCAAAACAACTTCCTAGAGTGGAGCCTGTTTCCAAAGCCTACGAGCTGATCTGATCTGCAAGCACTAGAAAATGATTGTCAGCAAGACTAAACAACAGCCCACTGAAATCCTGCCCTTCCACAAACAATGACTTCAACTTGGTCTGTTTCGATATTCAATCGCATAACAAATATTTTGCCATTGCTTCATTGTACATTCAAAAAAATGTCCTTGCTCATTTAGAACGAGTTAGGTAAAAAAAAACCTTGGTAAAAAGGGTAACAATGTCCTTTTTATTTGCAACATATTAACAGAATTGTTCATTATTTCTTTAACAAAAGCATACATTGAAAGCTCCCCCTACGGAGCGGTTTACCTGTCCCCGCCTCCGGACAATAACTGGAGAAGGTGAGTGAAGCCTCTTTTTTTGTCTGTTGGTTGTATTTCTATTTAAATTAGAATATTAATATAATATTGTCTATATAAACATTTGTATTCTGTAAAAACATTTTTTTTAATTATAATTGTTAGAATGGGGTCATATTTGATCTTTTGACATGCTTTCTTTTAAAAGAATCAAGCATGTGGTGTTAACAGTGGAAAGGCTGCATCTTTTCTCAGAAGGTCATGACCACCTCCAGGTGTTCTGCCTTTGGGGGTTTTAATATTGTCACAGCACCACGGCCTTGTGTCTCTCCAGCTGAACCTGTAGGATCTCTTTCCATGTTCTTTTTGTTGCTACACAGAACAGACAGAATGACAGTAGTTCAGCGTTTCCATCAGTGTTTACACCAGAGTTATGGCCTTGTGATAAATAGCTCAGCCATGCTTCTCCCCCATCATTTTCCAGCACTCTACCTTCACACAAATGTTTAATAAACTGCCTTTTGGCCAGCTGCCAATTGCTGGGGTTCATTTTCTTCCACAACTCCAACACACAAAGACATTTGCCAGGCCTTGATTTAAGTGCTGTGTGACAGGTTGTAATACAGAAGTAAAATAGATCCACACCCTCGTGTCGTCATTGACCGAACAAAACAGGTTGACTAACATATGTCTGCACTAAAAGCATGACATGCGTATACTCAAAATGTGGGTGTGTTTTTTAGTGAGTGAGGATTGTGCTGCACGTAGCATGAAGGCTGCACCTCTGTGTGCTAAAATTGCGTATTTCAATATGGAAACCACTACTGGAGGCTCCTAAGTGTCATTAGCTTTAATTTTAGAAATTCAATTTTTTTGTTTGTGGAGGAAGAAGTAAACATGGATGTCCTTGTTTGAACAAATGCCCTGTCTGCAGAATGAACACCGACCTTTTACAGTAAAGCCTTATTTGAGAGTGTGGCTGATGATGCTCAGCATAAGGAAAAACGGTAAAATGAAAATTGTGCAGTAGGTCAGTTGTAACCATTTTGCCTCTAAATCTGCTGATGTGAATTGGAACATTACATTTTCCCTTTTTGACTTGAACTTTTTCTGCTATCCCAACTATATAGACATTTTATATGTGACTGGCATCAGCTCTGTCAAGTCCTTGCAGGCAAAGTTCAGCCTCTTGCTCCAACCTGCAGCAGACTGATGTCACAGTGTACTGTGGGAAATGAGCTTTCCTCACAGCAATTAATGAAACTAACTTTTTCACTTGTAGAAATGAATCTTGCACTTGTGGATTAGACTCAAAGTCTATGAGTGTAAAGCTTCATTAAAGCCACTCTCTCATCCACTGTCTGTCTTTTACTAACCTCACTGAACTTTTATTCTTATTTACTTTAGGTAATGGCTGGTGATAATGGTGTGGCTGACCATCACCTCAGAATTTTATCTTTATTGACTTTACCTAATGGCTGGTTCTGTAGTTCACTGATCACCTAGCTTAAAAATGTTATCAATAATTACTTATCTTTCTTCACTTTACAATATTTTATATTGAGGATTGTAAAATGTTATATTGATATTTGCTTGAAAAGTTATTTTTTAAGGATCAAACAAGTCAAAAATTACCATCTTTTAGAGAAACACTAGGTTTTGTTCCGTAGATCCTTCATGCAAAATTCCTTAAAAATTTGCCACTGGGTATTTGGCAGAATGTCAAGACTCATATTTTTAGTAGAGGTGTTTTTTTTTTTTTAAATGCAACATGGAAGGTAGCAAAAAATGACAAAGGCCTAGCTGGTTTTCTGGGAGAATTTTTATAATTATTTTAAAATGGCAGTTTTATATATCTGTTCATTTCACATGTAGCCACTTGCTATTTCAATGACCTTTGAGAGGATGACACAGCTTAATAAAACAGCAAAGTTGGTGCATGCTGACTGTTTTGAGAAACAGATCTGAACTTTTTCTCACAGTTTTCTCAGCCCTATTACTTTTCTTTTGTTAGCAAGTCCTCAAAAGGTAATCCCCTCAAAATGTTGAGAAACGTTTCAATATTGTGAAGTCAATTTTTATCATTTGTTGCTATGCAAGAATGTGCTCACACTAGGAATCTTTCTGTCTGGATATGTCTTGATTGGTCTGGACTTGCCTTAATGGCAGAAATATCCCATTGGGAAGACTTCAGAACTATTTGGCAAAATATCAAAAGCATTCCACAGAAAGACAGCAAATTTTAATGTCTACGGCAAAATATAACATATTTGTAATGAAAAGTAAATATAATCATTACAAAAGTATTACTAGTAGTGAGATACTTTCTTGTCGGATCAAAAAAAGATGATGAAACTCCAATTGCATTACGTAAACATGCAAATTAGTCAAAAGATTAGGACAAAATCAAAATGGACTGTCAAAATTAAGACTGCTATGTACAAAAATAGTTTTGTCATGGTATTTTAAGTTTTCAGAAGTAAGCCCTTGAAATAGAGTGCTTTGAATTTTAATCTTTAATCTAATCATTTTGACAGCCTCATTGAAACAATGATTTAGCCAATTAAAAATATTCATGAAAATCACCCTTTTCTGTGATGCAGTGTTATGGTTGGTTTATTCTTTTGTCCATTTCACCAATTTTTTATTTACTGCGCTGCTCTTGAAATCATTGTCACTACAAATTCATATTGTTCATGTTTGGTTGTATTTAAAAGACCTGCATTTTTTTATTAGCCTTTGATTTCACAGTCTGCTAACTGAATTTGTAACTTAATTAAAGGCACAACACAGTTGGAGGGAAAGTAAGAAATCAGAGTAGATAGAGCCTTGGAATTATAAATGGACTACTCTTCAGTAACCTAATGTTCTGGAGAATCCCATTTAAACTCAATATTTCTAAGAAAACTGTTGCTGATTATTTTTTTAGTCTGAACATTTATTCAAAGACACAGTTGATTACTCAAGTTTTTGTACATTCATTAAAAGTGTCAGAGGTTGTTGTTCTGCAGTGAAAGGGTTAGGATTTCAGGAGAGAGTGGGTAGCAAGTGTTTACAAGGCCAACTACATCTGCACTGCATTAACGCCAGTCGGCTCTGGAGAAGAGCCACGGTGCTTCTTAACTGTTTCAGTGCTTTAACGGCCACCGCAGTGATTATCTATATGCTAGTCTCCCACTTTTATACTGATAGCCATTTTATCTGCTCTGTGATCAGCAGCCGGGACAACAGCTCTTATCTTCCCTCCCTATTTAGTCAGGCTGTTTTTTTTATCTGTCTTTGGAGAGAAAAAGTGGTAATTTCCCAGTGTTGACCATCTGTATCCTGTAGTGAGTTGGGCCATGATTTTTTGATATCGACCATCTGTCCTCCAGAGTTGACTCAAACTACATGGAGTGCTGCTTGGAAATTTATAATGTCAATGAATACTACCTTATGACTGTGCCTGGGAAGATAAACACTTAGAGGGACGAAGAGTTCTGGTTTTGTAGAAGGCAGTAGACTTAAGAAATGCTCAGGATGTGTCTTTTTGGAAATCATCTGCTCCAGGGTCACAGACCAAATGTCGTCCCACGCTCCCCTTCTCCTCTGTTCACCAGTCTTGGGTGTGCTATTTCTGTACTAGTTTCAAATGGGGTAAAATCTCAGACCAGGTCTTGGGTGTGCTATTTCTGTACTAGTCTCAAATGGGATAAAATCTCAGACCATCTCTTGAGATTTCTGTGCAGAAGGTCCCTCTATGATAAAAAAAATTGTATGGTGCCTATCACATGGGTGGTTTTAGCTGCTGTCAAATAAACAGTCCTTCTGGGGAAAAATACAAAATTACCTTGTTTTTTTTCACATCAAATATTTCACATCAAACATTACATGAAACTATTTTGATATAAAAAAAAGTATATTTTTAAAATTATCTTTATTTCAGTGTTGAGTTCAGTGTTGGTTAAAACTTTGCCGAGCAATTATGTGTAAAGACAAAAACAAATTCAATATCCTGGTTTTCACCCACACAATCTTTGCTGGAGGGTACTTGTACTATAGTCCCGCGCTAGTCAACAAAACTGTTTAAATATTAGTTTCATTTTACATGAAATTTGTCATGTTCTTTTCAGAAATAGTCGTTCTACACTTTTTACAGTGTCTATTTTTTGCTTGCAATTAAAGTAAAAGGATCCATGCATACACTATATCTGTCCCACTGGACATGGTCAGAATTCCCCTTGCTTCATTTTACTACAGAACAATGTTGTGACTGATTGGATCTCCTTTAATATGTTCCTCCTTCGAGCAAACAAATGTTACTCAGATTGGCTCCTGCTCTTTCTTCAGTTTTCATTAGTTGACTAATGATTTCACTGTACGTCTAAAAAGCAATCATTATCTCCCTTTGTGCAAGAAAAGAGGTTTGACCTATTAGGTAACAAAATAATCTGATTTCTTTGTTACAAAGGGAAGGTACTGTAAATGGTACTTATACTGTACATCATGTGATGCTATAGTTACTATCAAAGAGACTTTCTTGAGGGTAGTCTCGTCTTATATTCTTACATTTGTGTTTTTAAAAGCCCTTTTTATTTTTTGAAGAATCCACTTACATCCCACTCCAATGCTTCAGGCTTTGACAATGACTCTTCACATCAAGTTGTTATTGTTGTTCTACTGCCGATTCCCAGGCGACCTGGTTATATTTCACAACATCTCTCCACCTCTCATAGATATTGGAGAACTGATTATTTTCACCTACAGGGTTAAAACATCGCCTTAGTTGTTTATCTGTTTTCCAATGTCTTGGTTTTGACCAAATATTTATATCCCTTTACCTACTGTTTCTCTGGGTCTTTTCGTTGAATACCAAATTCAGGACTGAAATTCTTTCTCCTTCCAAAAGTTTAGGACAGGAACCAGGGGTTACCACCAAGCAAATTTACTTTTTTGTGCTTTTCCTATATCTCTTTCAAGGGAACAGCTGCCATGGACTGAGGAAAAACGGCCGGGGTTTAGATTATTATCCCAACTCAACAGGTGACCCTTGACCCCTCTCACTAACCCGTCTCTCTTTTTTTTCTCCTTTTGGTCTATCTTTAATGATTCATCTCCTGTCAAACAGGCCATTCACTCTTTTTTTCCTCAGCCTGTGGACACATAACATCCTAGTTTTAACCCTTTGTAGACCTCTGCTGAATTCATAACATCTTCAGATCTTCCTTGTCATCTGAAGAGCTGAGATGGAAGGCAACAAAGACTGTCATTCTTCTAATTTCCTTTTCACCTACGTGTGTCTGAAGTAATACTTTCTTTCTTTACTAACCTAGTTGAGTTTTAGCACCTTTGTAATAAGTTAGAACTGCTTGCATTTCTAAATCTTCCCATTGTTATTTTTTTAATTCTGAACTAGAACTTATTTTTTTCCTGATGTAAATACAGTGCAGTTGCCTTTTCTGCTTTGTTCATTCTGCTTTGCACTTTGCATAACTGATGGGAGAAAACAGTGTAACAGTGAGTTGTGCTCAAGAAATAAATTGCCCTTAATTAGTTTTCGTGAGTGAGAAAAATTAAAGTGTGCTCATTGGCTGGTTTTATCAAATTTTTACTCTCTACCTTTGCTTTAGCACCATGTTTCTATGAATGTGAAGATTAAAATGGAATAACTGTCATATTATTCACTGCCTCACTCTAATCTGCTATATTTTGTAATCTCTTAAGTAGAAAAACATTTGCGCACATATAAATAGACATTTTGGAGTGAAAGGTGTTTTTCAATAATAGAGATTAAATTAGTTAAGTCATGAAAATAAACTGAATATCAAGAAGCCAAGTTGACTCTTCAGCAGTTCTAAGACACTTGTTTCTAGAGTATGCTCTTTGTTTGGGTGCTGAGTCAATCTGCATTTACACTGATGAGCCCCTTATTTGGTAAATGTTTTTCTCTCTGAGCTCATAGTGAGCCTAACAGCCTGTGTGCCGTGTCAGAGCAGGAAGAAGATTGACCTGGCTAACCTTCTGGGTCACAAGTACCATCTGCCTCTATCCAAGGTGCTACAGGAACACTTTGCATAATTTTTCTCTGCCTCCTACACAGAACCAACTCCGACTCTGCTCTCCATACAAGCGTCATGAACCCAAACCCTCAGGACCCCTTTGGCATGAACCAGCAGATGGGTCGGGGTCCCCCTGAGCGTAATGGTGAGTAAAACACCCACACAAACAATAAATGCTGACAAGCAAAAGATTTAGTGTCTTAAGAGTAAACTTAATTTAATGTAATCCAATGACAAATGATTTTATTTAGTTAGTTCTAACAGTAGGAAACTCTTAACAGTAAGCAGAAAATGTTTGTTTAGAAGACCTACCGTACTTGTTTTGGGCTTTGATTGAGTCTGATAGTCCATTAGCAAATGTAACACAGATCTATACTGAAGATCCATTTTCTGCTCAAATGATTTCCTAACTGCCTATGATATACAAACTCATTGACCTGCGTTTAAATTATACCTAATGTCACTGTCTCCTTTTCTAAAGTCATGACAAACGTTGCATCCTTCAACCGTCCCATTTACTTCCCCATGTTTCAAACTTTTAGTGAAATCCCTCTGAAAGAAACTGTATACCACCTAAAGTTACAGGCAGTAGTGCCAGCTGCTCGGGCGCTGACTCCATTTCATGCGACTTTATGATGTTTGTGTTTCTCTCCCCAGTCATTTATTAACAGAGAATACAGTCCAATCAGCCAGCTGCGTGACAGACCCATTAAGTCACTCAGCTCCATTACACAGTGACAATTTGGCATACAGTGATGATGGTCTCAAAGAAAAAAAAAACATTCATTTGTATTCGTTGACATTGCGTTCACTTAATTTTCATCCAAATGAGCAGATTTTGACTGCTTGTCACAAACAAGTTCTCCTCCACTGTTTAACTACTCTGTGTTTAGTCGGCAAGCTTAAACAGGATATTGCTCCAAGATCTGGACCAAGTATGAGTTTCATGTACAAACAGAATAAAAAGAAAACAGTACAGCATGTTTTCTGCTCAGCTTTAAATGGTTCATCTTAGTCTCAGTTCTGTGTGTGTTTGCTACATACAATAATAGCTAAAATCTTTTATGTAGATCATTGCAGAAAAGGTGCAACATTGGCATATATGAAGAAACTTTAAACCATATTCTGTAAGCCAAGAGTTATAAAATTAGAGCATGGTACTTTAATTATTCTGCTGTCTGTGCAGTACTACAGTATAAACTCTACATCTGTGTATGCTTGGTCATGTTGGGGCCTCTTTAACACCTCACTGCTGTCAGACAAAATTGCACAGTGCTGCAAAGCCCTAGGGCCTCTGTGGATCGTTGGAGTCATTGCTGACTCTCAGGCTTAAATTATTAAAGAAACATTGAATGTGGAATTACAGCAGTAACTCACACTGTCAGATCAGATGAGTCCAGCTCTGGTCTTTTCATGTTATTTCTTAACTCCCAAGATTTGTGCAGCTGTAAAGTCTTTTATTGCTCAACAGTAGGACGGTGGCATTTTCTAAGTCCTGAGCTTTCACTCAATACAGTCCTTTGAGTGAATTAAAAGAAATAATTCTACCAGTACAATTAGTCTGTTATCTTTTTATCAGCTGTAAATGTATTTATTTTTCTTCATTTTTCCAGTTGCACTTTTGTAAGCAACAGGATACCTTTGCAAATGATGCAGGATGTTGTCTGGCCTTATTGCCTTTAAGGCGTACCAAAATAAAATGAGTCTTTCTAAAAGGATACACTTCAGAGAGTTTGAGGACATGGAAAGAGAAGGAATTGGTGGGCAGTGGATCAAAGGCCTCTGTAAGAGAAGCTGTGTTCAAGTCTGAGTGACGAAGAAACTTGAGGAAGATCAAGAGAAACAAAAAAAATACCCTAATTGGCAACAGAAAGCAGGGAACGCATGGTGTTGCTTAATAGTAGAATTAGACACGAAAAAGGAAAGTTAAAAAGAAAAGAAAACAAAGCGTGTGTAATAATGTTCTACATTGGGGAAGAAAAGAATGAGTCTCTTTGTGCTGCGTGGAAAACAATGGTCTTCTTTTTAGGCCTCATCGGTCTGTCGTTTCCCTTTCTCTGTCCAACCATGTTACTAATAACATGATGCCAGATGCCCAGCTGCTGTGTTTATTGAACTAAACAGTAATTGTAATGTATATGCTGTGCTGGTCATAGGGCTGGTAATTGTCCTAGACATACTGCAATGGTTCAAACAGCTGGTGGAAACTGAATGTCTAGTAGTGTTTTTCTACAAATGTTTTCAATTTGTTTGTCTATCTTCTCTGTGTTTATGGTCTTGTTTGCTTGAAGGTTGGCATTCAGTTGGTGCAAATGAAGCAGAAGTGGACGGCTCTGGAGACAGTGAGTTACAAGGTTTTTGTTCTAGTCATCAAAATAGAAAATAGTTTTTTTTAATAGATGTTAAATTAAAACATGGTCTTTTTTCTGCAGTCTTCTCGTTTCCTGCCCTGAATAATGAGGAGGGTTTAATCGGGGTCACTAAGCCACTTCCTAAGCAACTGTGGGAGGCCAAGAAGGTAAGACTGCTGTACTCTTGTACACAAAAGATATTAAATCAAAGATGTAAAATGATCAGTTCCAACACCATAGCATTGAATATTAAGTACGTGGTTGAAACATTCAAGTAATGTTGAACCTACGTGTTTAACTAAATGAAGGTATAATATTAGATTGGATAAGATTGCACACTGGGTAAATTGACCAGGAAGATACTGTCAGAAATGGTTCAGTACCAACACATCCATTCACTTTCAGCTCTTAAAACAGTACACATAAAAGTCTATATGCATCACTGTTTATAATAGTTGGAGAGAGTTCATTAATTATTTATTGGATAACATTTCATTGTAAAATGTAATTAATGTAATTACAGTGTGTGTGTGTGTATATATATATATTTATATATGTATATAAGTTAGTGTGAACTCTAATCCCTATATATATCCCTATATATATATATATATATATATATATTAAGATATATATATATATATATATATATAGGGATATATATAGGGATTAGAGTTCACACTAACTTGATTCTGTCATAACTCCTTTAGGTCCAGTCTCTGACATCAAGGCCTAAATCCTGTGAAGTGCCTGGAATCAAGTACGTCTAATGTCTCTAAAAAGAGAAGTACCAGTATTTAATTATCTTTAGATGACCTTTTGTTCTGGTACGAGTAGAGTTGTTTTTGTTTTTGTTTTTTTGGGCAAAATTAAATAAAAAAATAAACATGCAATCATCAAATTGCCATTTTGTGAACAGTCTAAACCAAATAATTGAGCACGCATGTGATGTCATGTGCAAATAATCTAATCTTTACACATGCAGACTAAGTATTCCAATGAATTGGACTATTAGGAGGCTGTTTCTACAAGAAGCAGTTCAGGATTCCCATCCCTAGTCAACAGAGCAGCAATAACCCAGAAATAACAAAAACACATGTTCTTTGTTTGTCATGTTTGTCTTTCCTTTTTCTTACACAAGTAGTCTTTTAATAGTTGGAGGAACAGTTCATTTTAATCACATTCTATCAAATTTGTTACTACAAGTTTGCTGAGGTGATTTTTCACAGGCGTGTCATGCCAAAGATGCAAAGATAACAGTTTAATCCAACTCACTCGACTTTTACTTTTTTTTCATTTATTTTACTGATATAGAATAACATAACTGAATATTAATATTTTGGCTCCGGCCTTCTCAGCAGCATCAGGGACCTCTTACACAATCTTGTGATGTGATGTGATATTTCTCTCTGTGAGGGTTTGTTGTGCCAGGTTAACTGTGTGTGTTTGTGCGCTTGCATGTGTGTTTGGACAGACAACAATGAGTCACAGTTGCTCCCAACATTCTGTTAATGAAGCATATGAGCATAAATGAAAATTTGAGTAATTTGAGTAAGCGTCAAAACAAATAGGCCTGAAAAATGTATTCGTATTTAAGAAACCATGTCAGCTCTAAATGACAATGACTGTTTATTTAAATACATTAAAATAGGCATGATCTACAATACTCGTGTTCACCTCACAAATGAAACCCATTTTCTTCTGCTGTCTTCTGTGCAGTATATTCCCGTCTCCAGAGCAGAATCCCACACTTTCTCACTACCAAGGAACGTTAAACACTGGTGGCTCGCTGCCTGACCTCAGCAACCTGCAGTTTACTTCCCCTCTTTCTACTCCACTGGACCCTGAGGACAATGGAGGATACCCCAACCTCAGTGGAGGCAACAGCACCGGAAACCTGCCCGCTGCTATGATGCATCTGGGCATTGGGAGCTCACAGGGTGGGTGATGCTCTGATTTAAAATTCTTCATTCTCCTAGTTCCAGATTGAATCACTCTTTGGTATACACTAAAATGAAACAGAAACAATTTAGGAGCAGAGATAGCGTTCTGTACACAAGCCCACACACAAATAAGAAGGAAAAGAGTTTCTTCTGAGATTATTATTCAATAATGACGTTTTATTCACACGGGTCTTCAACCAAGGCTCTAAATTACTCACATTAGTTTGTATAATGAAAAAAAAAATAGATTACATACTTTACCCGAACCATACTACCTCTGCTATGTGTGCAATTATTGGATGAATGTGTCTTTCAGAAGATTGCTAAAGAATGAATGGAGGAAATGAAAACTCCAGCTTCTAATTCTGTTTGACAAATGTCAACAGAACAATCCGTAGACAAAAAAGATAATTTTGCGGTGTTGTTTTACTGGGAATTGCTGAAATGCAATTTGTTACAATGAAGGAAGGTCTTGATGATTCAGTTTCACAGGAATTTTTGGACTGTACTTTGCTCCTTTCTTTGTGGAAAAGGTTTGGGGAGGAACCTCCTCTTTTACAGCATTACTGCACTTCCTTTTACAAAGCATGAACAGAAGAGTCATGGTGGGCAAGAATTTTGACTAGACAAAAGGGAGACTTGACCTTTGACACTCTATAAAAGTAGCTGTTAATCAGATTGACTGTTTAATGTTTACAATTTAAGAACTCATTTTTGAATTAATTACCAAGTCAAAATCTGACACTTGTCCTTATTTGATTTGACTTGTACCACCCAACAAAGCTGCAGTGGTATTACTGTAATTAATGGAAATATGCTATGATGTTTTCGGAAAAGCATTCTGTTTGCATTTCAATTTAATTTTTCTATTAAGTTTCAAATGCAGTATTACTTGTAGCTGTTTGATGTTACTTGGTAAATTGCTGGAAGTTGCAGCACCTAAAATTCAATTTTGTGACCTGTTGACCTGATTGGTTTAAAATGCAAAGATTGACTCCAGTCGAACCCTTGCGATTGGATTAAGAACATCCTTAGTGTATAAATATATAAACACTTAATATACTTATACATTCTAACATGCTGTCCTAAGTTATAAAAGAAAATTGGATCATTACTTTTATGTAAACTGTTACACCCTGTTATTGTTGAAAGACTTATCCACGTCAGTGTGAGTCATGTTCATGATTCACATGGTTGTTTAATACACTGGACATTTGATTCAGTGTAAAGTTTTAGAGCCGTGTTCCAGCACATTTTGCAGGTTCCAGGTTCCCTCCTCTGCCAGCTGAGGGACCATAACATTCTTCACGTCTGATTGAATACTTTCTCTGTGTCCAGCTGCCTGATGTGCTCACACCCACCATTGCTCCCGCTCAGTCTTTCCTCTCTGTTGTCTGTGAGTAGGATTTGTGGTTGGGCTCTCATGTCGAACACAGAGCAGCTTGGCGAGCAGTGACAGAGGAACTCTGACCCCATTTTGGCTCACGATAAGCAGTTCCTCAGTCTTTTCATTTTCTTCTCCTCAGCTCTCCATCTCTCTTTTCCTTCTGTCAAACAATAAAGTCCAGTGTTTGTGGTTAAAAACTGGAGTCTGTGCTGGAAAATAGAATTCATAACTGCATTATAACGTCCACGTGTTCATCAAGTATTTGGATCTATTCCCATTTTTATCTCATGGCTGTGGTCTTCCATGCTCTGTTGCTTTTAAAATGTGTTAATCCATCTGCCTGCATATTTGTCATCCCTGTCCTGCAGGACTCTCATCTTCTCTCAGCAATCCTTCAATTCAAGCATCTCTCAACAACTGCCAGCTGCAGTCATCACTCAGTAATCTTTCTATCAACTCATCTCTTCGTCTCTCCGGCAACTCTCCCCGGCGACGACCGGCTCCCATCAGCCCCCTCACTCTGTCTCCAGGCTCCGAGCAGCGCAGGGGTCTGGCAAAACAGCTGTCCCCTACAATGTCCCCATCATTGTCCCCCATCACACAGGTACTGTCACAATTTTATAATGTCCAGGATTATGTTAGATGCAGAGAGGGCATTTTTAATGCACCCATACTGTCAAAATGCAACGTGTCATGTTACTGATGACATCATAAATGTTTTTTTGCAGTGAGCTTAGCTGGTACAAACAGATCTATGGTATAAGGTTCTCCAACTCTACTTGTCTTTACTGACTCCTGACTCCTTTGTTTTCCCTTTCCTCCTCAGGGTGTTGCCTTGGATACCAGCAACATGCCAAGGGAGCCGCCTCCACCATATCCGCTTTACCAACAATCCCAGCATGGATTGGACCAAGGTCGACAATGCCAGCAGCAGCAGCAACAGACACAACAGCAGCAACAGTCTCGTCAGCCCATTTCCCCCCTTCAGGGCATCCCACTGGATTTTAATACGGGCCAGGTTGGTACTCCAAGGGCTGCATTTGATTGGGTATGTTTGCAAACAGAGAGCTGCACACAAAAACACACACAAACAAGGCAGTGTTTATGGAGTCACAAGGAACTGGTTTGGGAGATTAGTTTTGGCATTTTAAATCTGTTTACAAACATTTATTAAAATAGTACTTTTTTTTTTTTTAGCTTTTAATCTTCGTTGTTCCAACCACACGTCAAAATCATGTGTGTTTTGATGATCATTATAGACATCGTGAACATGTAGAACTTAAGCATAAACACAGTTCTCAGTTTTAGAGTACTTTTTTTTTTACTCTTTAGGGATAAAACTAGAGCAGTAGCAACTGATGCAAACCATTGAATGATTTGAATTTAAGATTTGTGTTTTATATACATACTCCCTTTCTTTTTTTGTCATCTCTGACAGCCCAACAACATGGCAGCACTCTTTAATGACCCCTTCATGGAAACTCAGTTCACTAATCGCCAGAACAAGACTCTTCTCAATCAGGTATTTGTACAGTACACACAGTGACACAATGCTGCGGAAGTATTATTATTCATAAATACATATGAGAGAGATGGCGTGTCTTCTGGTGTTTCGTTAATTAACAGAACAAGTCTTATAGGTAGTCTTGCTTCTGCAGTCCTCCAGTCATTCATTAGTTAAGATCACACATTAAACAATATGATCTGATTTCTCTTGCTGTTCATCACTGAGTCGTGTAGCAGCTGCTCGTGTCAACAGTAGCTAAATCTGCCTAAGCACAAAAATGTGTTAGGACAATCATATGTTAAGCCTTTTTGTCTGCGAGGTCGTTACAGTGGGTTTTCGATGTCATTGTAATGGGAAAGTCCTACTCACTGGTTTTTGCCATTTTTTCATCACCATCTGTCGTCCAGTTGGACCAGTTCAGTCTGTTGGAAAACACAATGAGCTCCACAGCAGGAGGTTCTTGCTTCGACCCGTCCTCCTCCGCGCTCTACTACTCCCAGGCTGCTCTGGCAGGACTGGGCGGCAGCCACGGAAGTCTGCAGGACCCAATGCACATGAGGTCCAACATGCTGTACTCCAACTGCAGCGGCATGCTTCCAAACATCATTCTCACTGGTGAGTACAGCGGGTTGGGCTGTCTGCTGCAGAACATACAGAGTTTAGTTGATGATTTGCCAGCACAAAATATGCATTTGGTTTTTTGATAGGAAAGTTTTAATTTATTTTCTTTCAACAAGGGCAAAAAGCCATTCATTGTGTTGCAATTTCACAAAACGAGTTGAACAAGGTTAAAATGTTCTTAACGTGAAGTCAGTGTTTGTGGAGTCAGTTCTGTTTTTTTTGTTCAACCTTATAGTGATTTATTTACTTACTATTAAAAATAGGATGGTTCAGATCAGTTTACTTTTAAGGGCAGGAAGACTATTAAATACAGGCAGCATGTGTGGTTCCCTCACTGGAGTGTCCACCATTATTTTCATTATCTGTTCTGGCTGCTTTTTTCCCAGATGACTCCAATCCCAGTCTGTCAAAGGATATAAGCAGCGCACTCTCCATGGTGCCTGAATGTTTCGACCCAGAGGGAGGCTTCCCACTGGAGGATGAGCTGCGCATCGAGCCCCTCAGCCTGGATGGTCTGAGCATGCTCAGTGATCCAGACATGGTGCTACCAGACCCATCTGTGGAGGACACGTTTCGCAATGACAGACTCTGAATGTGAAGAGATTCACAGTTTTATGAAATAAAGGACACACAAACATGTACACACAAACACGGAGTTGCCAACCTGAATATGCATGCGTACAATACTGTATGTGTTGGGACACAATGCATACACACACTGCCACTAAGATTAAGAATGTGAAAGATGTGAACACGGTGTCCACACTCAAGCGTACTTTTTGAGGAAATGTACGGACGAACGCCTTTTACATCTGCGTCACACAAAGCAAGTCTCACTGGAGCTCCAGCTTCTTTTAACAAAAATGCTGTGGAGGCATTTAAACCAGCTCTGGGAGCAGAAGCCTGTCTGCACCCCAACCAAAAAAAGACCATGTTTGGTGCAAACATGAGAGAGGATATATGGACGAGCTCCTCCGGGTTTATCTCACCAACAGTTCAAACCCTCCGCCCGAGTCCCTGACATGGCAACCTCATCGTCATGGTTACACCATAGCAACCTCTCTGCAGAGCTGAAGAGCAGCAGAAATGCCAATATAGTTAACTTTTTCTCCGATACTTCAGCAGATGGGATCTCAGATAAGGCTCTGAGGCAGGGAATGACGTGTGGAAATGTAAAAATACAAAATGAAACGAAAACATCTGGCAGCTTTGAGTATCTTCAGGTGAAATAAAAACCAGCCGTGGCCCGGCCATATCAATCTGTCAGCAGTCGTGGAGATTCAAGCCATTGGACTCTGTTCTTTCTGAAATCTATTTGTATCATTTGAAAATGTTTGCTACAAAGATGAAAGACTGATGAGAATGTATTTTGAAACCCAGACACAGAAGAGCAAAGTGTTTACAAAGATGAGATCTAACAAGTACAATTTTACTCTAATATACATTTTAGTTCAAAGTGTGAGAGGCGAGAGTTAAAATTCTAAGATGCAGTAAATGAATTTATATTTTTGTGTAAGCTCCTGCTTATTTTGTCGCCGCTTTGTCAAAGCATGTTTTCCTTTAGCAGAACATTGACAGGACTGGGACATAAATTCCACTATAAAAAAAACCCCAAAAATATTTTTGTTACTTCTGTGTACATTCAGTGTATTTGTATTATTTGACATGTTTTGTACTGATGTTTCTGGTCCTTTCTTAAATATTGTCTTGAATAAGGGCATGTGTTTTTGTTAATGAAATGTCAGCAATTGTTTTTTTGTCTTTGTCTTACAAAGAAAAAAGCAGCCTCCCCGCTCTTACCCTTTACTGTGTCCAAACAGACAGTGAGCAGACTGGATCACGTGGACATGGACATCATGTAACGTTGCACTTAATCTCTGTTTGCACTTTTTCCTATAGGTTTGTATTTTCTAAGCTAATATATTTACAGGTAATGAATTTGATACCTGACAACCCAAAGAGATTAAAGGAAGCCATTCATGATCAGAGCAATTACACTTTTTTATTTATAAAAAACCAAACCACCAGCAGCAGGTGTGTAGTTGTGAGGTAATTTGATGTTGTGGTTTTACAGTTTCTGTTAAAGCCGACAGTTACAGTCGGTTATGTAACCAGCTCAGACTTTTAGGGCGTTGAGTGCCCCCTAGTGTCTGTTTCTATTATGTTTTGCAATCGCTTATTTAAAAAAATGCTATGCAACTTTTTCCTTTCTAAATGAGTTCAACCTGTGGAGCAGGTGTATCTAAGCAGCATGCAGTGTCACATGACATCAGGTTCAATCTTGCTTAGTCAGGATTAAATTAGCCAGAATCCCAATTTTACATGTGTCCAGTGTCCACAGATGTGTAGCTGCTCAGTCAGTCAGAGGGAAAGCTGCATCCATCCCATCTACACCCTTACAGGGTGAGGGTGAATCCAGCACTGTCCTGTTTTAACCTTTTACCCCAGACTTTCAGTCTATTGGTGTCGCTGATGCACTGAGCATCATTATGTCGGGTTAAAAAAAGAAGGGGAAATGTGGATAGTTTTATGATTTTTGTTTTACTTACATCTGAGAGATCTTTATAAATCTGAACTCTTGCTAACACTGTCAGTCAGTGGGGGTGGGTGGAGTCAGCTTTCAGTTTAAAGCTCTGTTGTTTATATTATAATACATTTTGTGTTTGTTTTCCTCTCTCCTGCAGTTTTAACCTCTGCCCTCTGCTGCCTTACTTTGTCGTATTGTGACGTATACCTGTATACTTCTGCCGTAACATGTACCAACCTGTAGCTTTAGGTTTGTTAAGTTCTAACAGCCTGTGGTTGTTGGGTTTTTTTGTTTGTTTTTGTTTTGTTTTTTTGTTTGGGGCAAAGATCTATTAGATATTTTTGTTTGTTTTTATCTTACTTTTTTTAGTTGCATACTGAAATGTACAGATGCGTTATTTAAAGAATGATTTTGTTCTTTAGTGTTACTACTTTATGGTTTTGTAATTTTTTTCGAATCAAACTTTCATAGTTTGTATCCAATGTCATAGTACTTATCCTCCGGATTTAATATAAACAATAAAACTATTTACTGTGTCAACTTCAGAACTTTTGTCATTAAAGTTTTGTCCTTAACTTGAAGGCCTGACATGGCCGAGAATGCAGTTACTGGTTCTGCCAGGAGATGGCGTTAGTACAACGTCTGTTAAGCACCAATACAGACCTAACCTAATTGTTTATTCTCCCAAATACGGTATAGTAAAAACAATCGTATAGTAATGTACATTACATTTTAATTTTACATTGTTTACCGGAATTAAATTTAAACAAGGAAAGGTCACTACTTTATTGTGTCTCTGATGAAGGACATTTTTTTATAATGACAATATAGAAATAGTAGACCAGCATTGCAAATGACATGTATTGTTTGTTGTATAAATATAAAAAATATGTTAACATTAAGATAAAAAAGATCTCGACCTAAATTCATATTCTACGAGCCCCTAAAGGGACATTAGGGGTCGGGGTCCTAGGTGAGTGTGCAGTAAGTACATTTGCGAATGAAGATGAGTTTTAACTGCATTTTGGGCCTGAAAACATCCAACTGACACTGGGCAAAAATACACCACGTCCATACAAGGGTAGGTCAGAAGGTTTTTGGACAAAACTAAGAAAAAATCCCCAACTGAGGTCCAAACACTTTTGCAAGTGGTGATTCCATTATATGGAATTCTGGGAGATGCTGATGACACCGGTTCACGATCTTCTTCTTTGGCTCATCCACAGACTGACGTGGTTGTTTAGTTTAAGGAGAAGAGAGTTAAAAACCTTAATTAAATGAAATGTAACAAAGTCCAAAAAAGATACTAAAGGGATATTAAACCTTATAAAGAACTTAACGACATCTGTGTGTGGCTCACCAGGAGAGAAGCCTCCGGTGAGTTCTCTCAGGTGAAATCAATGGCATAATTACCCTGTTTATTTGCTGAGGTCCAAATCAAAGTCATATGGAAACCATTTGTGGCACTTATCCCTTTACCAGCCTGTAGTGATGATCAACCGTGAAGTTCTTGAATGACCGAAATCATCAGATTTCACCACCTGATTCGTTCCATGTGTTTCTCTGTATGGTGGGAAACAGGACCAGAAATGCACTGAAATGCTGTTGTAGTCGCTTTGATACGGTAAGAAAGTATGACTGAGTGTGCAGTCGGTGCAGTCCCACAGATGGACAGCGTAGGCTCCTGGCAGACAGCCAAACCTCATCGACTGTAGGAAATAATCAGTGATTAAGTTCACACACACACACACACACACACACACGGTTAAATAGATAATTACAGTCATCAGTCAGAGCTGGAGCTGGTCCACAAAGAGAGTCTGAGCAGGTCAGAATGCCAGTCTTTAATTCGTGCCAGTGTAACCTGTAAGCATGTGTGAGTGTGGGAACACGGATCTGAGATTCCTGAGAAATGAAGTCTAATTAACCACTGGCTGAAATGGACCCTGTTAATCTATTCTGCAGCAATATTATACACAAAAACAACATGACTTAACATAAATAATGTATATATTGTTTTATTAATCTTTTTTGAACCATCTTAACTTTTTGGTGGAGCACATTTTTACCTCCTGTAAACAGAGTGCAAGGCCAGACCCCAGCTTCCTTAACATGTGTTTTCCAACATTCTCCTATAAATCTCTAAAATCATTCAATTAAAGGTGGATGGATGGATGGACAGGTGAATGGTTTATGATGTCAATATAATAATAAAGGATATTTTCCTTTTTTTAAGTAAAATGTATTTTTTATTATTGTTTTCATCTGTATCTCATCATGATATTTATTCAGCGTGCTCAGACCAGTGCTCAGCTTGTGACACAATAAACATCTGGTGTTGACTGCATTCCCTTAGCTTTCAACTAGTAACCTAGACTTCATATTTGACTCATTTATTTATTTTAACACATCCTTTGTTTAGCTGAGCAACACCTTTATTTGTTAACGCCGTGAGAAATATTTCCACTTTTAAAAATATTTTGACAGAATTGGCAGAAGATTTTTTTGACCTGGATGATATTTCAGAGTGGTAACCTGCACTGGAGCTTCTGTCCAGGACCTGAACCACGGTGTTAAACCTTGGTCTGGTTCATGTTCTCAGTTCTACCTCTAGTACTCTGGACCACATCCCCTTTGATACCATAACACTATTCAGGCTGTATTTTTAGCAGGAGCTCTCTGTCTCACCTCTGTGTGATGTTCATGACAGAAATAGGACTAATCCCACACAACAGGAGCGGGACCAAAGCTAGACGGTCTCAGATAAACCTCATTCCCAGAACAGGAGGAGGAGCGGCGTCTGATCTGAGTCACAGACAGAGGCTTGATCAGGGTTTAGTGCCAGGTTTTGGATTTTGTTTTCACGTCAGCGTGTTATTCTGAGACACCACGCTTTGAGTGTCAGTGGAAACATCTGTCAGCAATAAATGAGTGAGTGCTGGCTTTGTTTGCTGTTTGTTGTGATTCATTCATTTGTGAGGTTTTTTGTAAATGTGAAGTCACACATACGGTGGACACAGGTTTACAGTTACAGTAACATATTCTTTTAGGAGCAAACTATTCTGGCCAAGACAAAGCCAACAGAACAGAGTTGTGACACGTTTGGACGGTCATTAAGACGATCCTGACAAGGTTGCCGCTGAACTGCATGCACACACACACACAGAGAGAGAGAGAGTAGTGATAGAGCTGTTTACTCCTGCAGCCATGTTGTACTTGTAGACTACTGTACCCCTGACGTAAACACAACTACATCTGTGTACATTTAGCCCAACGTGAACAGTGTTTATATCCATGACTGTTGAGTTTAATACATTCTACATATGGTCTGCAGTGAAGTGTGAAGTTCACTGCATTCCCCATGTGAAGGTGAAGTGTGAAGTTCACTGCATTCCCCAAGAAGAGGATGCACTGACTGAGATAACATCAGCCTGGACGGAGGCTCCAGATGGTTTCCATCCAGATGACTTGTTTATAACAACACTGATGAGGAAAGCAGCAGTGTTGTCCACCGCAGAATGTGATCACCTCAAATATCCTCAATGCCAGGAACTGTGTGTGGCATCGTGTTTACTGTTTGTTGTCAAAAATCACTCAGAGTTTCTCCTTTGTCTCCCTGGAGTCGCCCAAAGAGAAAAAAAAAAATTCTCATCTTTATTTAGCAGACAAAATGTGAAAATGTTTGTTGTAGTTTAACTAAAGACAATCAATGTAATGTGTATGGTGATTGGATAAATAGCAGACACCAGTCTCAGTATTCACTTGGGATTAATTAAGGATGAAGTAATTGCATGGGTCCATTAAATCATGCTTTAACCTGCCCATAGACACATCCAGCTGTCATCAGACATATGTTTGAGAGGATAGAAAGGGCTGCTGAATGTGCATAAATGCCATTGCTTTAAAAGTCTTCCTGTATCTGTGCTTGTCAGTTTCAGATGTTTCTCTGAGGTGGAACTTCTTTGAGAATAATTTAAAGATAATCCAAGTTTCTAGAGATAGTTAGAATTTTGATGCTGAAGATTAAAAAATTCCAGAATGTTATCAAGGATGAGCAGGACTGGGCTGATTGTAGACTGATAGCCATTAGGATGTGAGGAGGATTGTGGGTACTTTAGATGCAAGATATACAATATTTATAAAGAAAAACAAATCAAGGGACTCTGAAACCTGATATAAAGCCCAGCCGTCTGAAGGCCGTAGCTAATGTCCTGTAAGTAAATGTCCTTCCATTTTAAAAGTGCCCTCACACTGGGTGTTCTTATAATAAATATCCTCACAGTGACTGTCTTTACAGTGAATTTCCTCAGACCGTGGGTGTCCTACCAGTAAATGTCCTCATGAGGAATGTCTCCTTGGTGGATGTCCTCACTCCGACCCCTACAGGGATTGTTCTCGTCCACAGTGAAGGTAACGTGTTCTGTTCTAAACTGTGGCAACTCAACTTTTTATGACTTGGACTGGAGTCAGACTTGAGGCACCCCACAGAATATAAAGATAATTCATTTTAAAGAGAGACAAGGTTTCTTCTTCCCCCCGACATCCGTCAAAGAGGCCACACGGTGGAAGAATGGTTCACACTTCAGCTGACCAGACTAAGAAGGTCATGGGTTCATTCCCTCCTGATAATAAATGCTTTTTCTGAATGGAGTTGACATGTTCTCCCTATGTGTGTGTAGGATTTAGTTGTGTTGTCCAGTGACGTGCACAAAGTGTATCTCGCCCTCACCTGGTGACTGTTGGGATTGCGACCCTGAAAAGGATTAAATGGCAGAAGGAACATGCAGTTCATTACCACCCAATCTGACAACATCTATTCTACATTAAGTTCAGTAGAGAATGAGTAAAAAATGTTTATTAAAAGGTGAAAGTTCCATTGCAAATATGACTCATTTTATCCCTAGGAATAAGGAGTAAGGAGCATGAAACATGGTTTTAGCTAAATCCTCATTATTACATTTATCTGAGTAAATAATCCAAGTAGTTTCAGATTTAATCTGGTTAAGATCAGATGCACTTACGATTGTTTTGACGATTCATATGTAATTACGCTACATGACTGTCAGGCATTATGACATCTGGTGTAGGGTACATCTGATTTGTCTCGGATTTAAAAACTTTTTTTTACTCACTCTGGACTTGACTTGGGAAGATTTACTCAAGACGACTGTTGTTGTCCAACCTCTGGTTCAAAGTTTTAGACATTGCGGAGGATTCGTGCATATGTGTTTCTGTTACGTATTTATTACTCCACCTCTGAGGTTCATTACGTTTCCCATATTTACTAGATAAGTTCTACACATGTCTGAGGACTTTCTATTCATTTTCCATTTTAGGCCAGAAATAAACTGGCAGATCTGCATTGGTTCCAGGAGGGGCCCATATCCACATCCTTCCTCTGTAGGCTTAATTAGTTTATATTTTTGGTTTACACAAAACCTCATCTGCCCTTTGAAAGGAAAAAAGGAAAATACCTACAGTGTAGTAATGCATAATTATTCAAAAGAGTATGATTGTCAGCCTTATAAATGTTCATTACATCCACTTGTTCTCTACTCGGTAAAGTACAAATAATTTGCACAGTACGCCACTCTGCACATGCAATGCGTAGAAAGCAGTGAAACAGTGTGGTTTGTTTACATAAACACATGCTGCAGATGTTTGACTTCATTCAAACAGACCAGTAAATATGGTGGATGGTATTTACTGCAGCATTCTAGTGGCTTTTTCTGTGTGTTATTTTCACCTATATGGGAAAGCTGTGTGGAAAATGACTGTGGTGGTTGCATCTAATGAGTGTTTCTTGTTATGATAGGTCCATGGAGCTCACAGCTTCATAACTCATACAAAGCTGTGAAAGAATCGAGCCTGGCTGCTGCTGGGTGTCTGTGCTGCAGCATCGTTCTGGTAGATTGTTGGCTTGTCTGTAACAGACTATGTAATTGTCTCATACCTCTGTGACTGCAGTAAATCAAAGTTGTTGTTCTCTTTGTTCCTCCTCCTTCATTTTCTGAACTTTATGAACCCCATACATCAGACTTTCACAGCCCACTGACAGGGCAATGCTTGCCACATAATCCCACTACAGCCATTCAGACGGTGCTACATCCACGACATGTCATAACTTCACATCCAAGTGTATATGGCAGCCGGTCGCTTAGGTGATGGGCAAAAGCTGGAGATGAAAGCAGGAAGTTGCAGCGGGGTCACCTGCAGACTGAAGCAGGCACCACAGTCTTCCTCCACCACTCAGAGTTTGTGATGGAACGATGAATTCTCATCGTCTCCTCCTTACCTTTATCTATTTACATGTACTCTTCATAACCTGCCACTGACAATGTTTTATTTACTTATCCCCACAGTAGTAGTCTGTCTGTTCTGCCCAGACATGTTTATTGTTATGTCACGGACCTAGTTTAGCCTCCAGGGTTAACATAAAAATGATGCCACACACCGAGTGCACGCCTTTGCCAGGAACACACGAGAACACATCATTTACAAGTCATTAGTATTGAATAGAAATATAATAAATAGTATCGCATTTTGATAATTTAATATAGTCGTATTTATTTAAAAATAAAAAGCAAAGTCAACCTGTAGAGGTCACATGTTGAAGACTGAACACTTTGTGCTGAAATAATGCTTGTTAGTTTAGACTTAAACTCAATGCTATTCAAGATAGCATGAGAAATCTTGTATGTAAAAACTAAAGGTAGAAGCAGTCAATCAATGTGTGTGGAATATTAGCTTACAGAATTACCCCCACATTCAAAGTGACCCTGGTCTAGTGATGCCCATGGTTACACTGGACTTGTCAGAACTCGTAGAGAAAATAAATATTGATCATTAGAGATAATCAACATCAATCAACAATGTTGACTGTTTATTTTCCTCTGCCTCTCTACTGTAAATCCCTGCAGTTTCCCATCAACAAATCAAGGTCAGATTCCAATTTAGAGCAGGGGGCGGGGCAGGGAAAGAAGGGTGGGAGTTAGCAGTGGACTCTGTGATGATTGAGCTGAGATACGACCTTAAGCACGTAGGAGTTCCTGGCTCCAGCTGGGTGAAGGATATCTGACTTTTCACACCACCAACTGAAAGCGTTTCATCAGAGGCGTTTAGTGAAACTGGCTACGTCCAGCTGTCAGGGTTTCATATTCAGTCTGGCCCGCTGCCAAGTTCAGTAAAAACTTAAAAGTAAGGAGAAGGAGGAGGAGGGCAGGAAAAGGCAACCTTCACCCTCTACCACTCCCACTCACTAATGTCTTTAAAGGGCAGTTAAGTGTCTCCTCGGTGCAGAAGCTTCTTATTACAGAGCAACACAGTATGAGCTGCTGCACTCACTCACGCAAAGGAGAGAGAGCAAAGGTGCATGACTGTGATGATTACTGTAAACACATGGATATCTGTCTCTATGTGAACAAACAAGCACACACACACACACACACACATAGCAGTGTCAAGTGTGTTTGGTAATGATGGGGCCACTATAGGGAGGGTGTGTGAAAATCTACTTGCTGTACAAGCTTGGACAGGCAGAGAGAGCGTGCACCAATTACCTAATTGTTACAAACCCGAGGAAAGGTGAGGAAGAGCCGTTTCCTGATAGTTGAATCAATTCTTTAAATAATTTCTTTAGCCAAATAGGACGTGAAATGTGCTTGAAGTTTTATCAGGTCGTTATTGGAGGTGTGCAGCTAGACTGATC